TTCCAAAACTACATCTATGGGAATCCTTCAAGTGCCTAGAAATAATTCATGAATCAATGTTATGATTTAATAATTCAGGCGCAAGCAGCACTTAATCACTGAACATCTTATGATGTGGGAGAATCTTAAAAGCATTTTAAAGGCTTAAACAAGTAGGAAATAATATGGTGCAAAATTCTGAACAGATTAGATGAAATATTTGCAATAATTTGCAATAGTCATTTATATCTAAGCTTGCATTTTGGCGAATTATTCCACGTCAAGTGACTTATTTAAGACAATCTAACATCTTGAAGTAGAAACTCTTGTTCTATAAATGAAACCATTTCCCATATTAAATAGAAGTGAGCATTTCGACGGGTGAGTCGAAAATGATAGAAAGTCAAAATTGTCAAAATTTCCAATCGTGTTTCTTTGAAGAAATAAAAACTCTTACTATTGCTCAAAAGATAGAAATCTTTGTTTTTTTTTACGTAATTTCGGCGTAAAATATGAAAAATCCAAGGAAAAATCGTCTTTTCATAGTTTTCTCTTCACCCGTCGATTTGCGCTCGGCAGAAAATCATAAAATTGCCTGAAAACCTGAGTTATAAAGTTGTCAGTTATAGTTATGAGTTAATTTTCTGTTGTTTTTTCAGAGTGATAAAACCAAAATCAACAGCATAACTGACAGAATACTACTAATTTTGTGTGTTGTTAATCGTTTTACTCAAAAAGTGGTCTGTTCAGCGATTTTTCACACGAATTTAGACACATATTATCTCTCCCTTGAGGGGTGGAATATGTATATTCTCTGGGTGTTCCCAAAAGTCCTTAAAACCCCTCTAAAATCATGGGCAATTGAGGACTTCTCGCTCGCCCACGAGCTTCAAAATGGGCGAAAAATAATTTTGGACGAGGAACACTTGGAGTCACGATGGAATTATCATTTTGAATGCGGATTTGAACAAGAAGGGATGCCGATGAAAAACAATTCAGGTGGTGACATGGCTGCGAAACAACAAACAGCCCCTCGTGGAGGCAATTTCCCAGCCGCAGCCATCAATACGCACTTTCGATGCGGGAGAGTGTGTCCCTGGGAAAAGTGGGAGGGAGGAAATCCCCCCGGAGGTGATGATCGGGCGGGGTGAGCGATGGAGCATCCCCATATATTCCAGCAGTCATTTATAGAGATGTTGAGTGTTGCTGGGGCTTGTTTACAATGCTGTGATGTTTGCAAATTTGATACCCCAAGGGACCATTTTCTCCGTCTCTCTCCCACTCGTGCGCCTCGGTGGCGCTCGGGCAGAGGGAGCAAATTTATAAATTTCACCCCGACATCCCCGCAGACTCATCCGTTTTTGGGGTTGAGGCGCAATCCTCCTCCGCATCATATTTGATGTTGCATCCAGAGTCGCAGAAGGTGGCAAAATTCCATCATCATGTATTTTTGCACAGCATTTCATCGCCCAGATCTCATCACCCCCAAATGCCGAGCCACCCACACACGGCCACCCGTGTTTAATATTCACACCCCCGCAGTGATGAAGATGCGAAAATGGATGACGGCACATTTAGTGGTGACTTATGAGCTGTGCAGAGAGTAATTATTTCATCTCGAGACATCCACTCGTCGTGCGTGTGTGCACAAAATTGTGACAAATTGACTGGTGAGTGACAGTGAAAAAATCCCACCTCTCAGTGCTCCCCTGGCACACCCCCACCCCCCCGCAAATCCACCCCGTGCGACACTCAGAAGGGAGCTCGTACTTCTTGCGGAAGCGATTAGGGATTGCCCCGCTTTGGGGACTCTCTCCGTGCCCAGAAGGCGGGAAGGAATAGTGAATAATATTCAAACATTGATATGATCAGTAAATTAGTTTTTGGGATGATACATAAAATTTATGATTATATGGTGTGTTCCATCTTTGGGGTGGGAATTATCGTTGATATTCTCCTCCAACCGCTTGGCTGCTAATCTTTCATGGCAAATCTCACGATCAATTTCGGCAAAGTTAAAATTTAGGAGACATCTTCCCTCCGAATAAAGCCATAAAAATCACGCGTGTGATGGTGAATGAACCCCTTCAGAATTATCTCACTTCAATCTCTCATCACAAGTTTCGGATGTTCCTTACAGGCGGTTGCAGAAGATTAAACACCAGCATTCACAGCATGTAGATGGATTGAGGGACTTTTATTCGTGCTTTTTGCCGAAAACCGTTGAAAATTGACTGTTTTATGGCAAAAAAAAAAACTTTGTTTCCCAAATAAAAAAATCTCAATTGAGTCTCAAAGCTTCTATATTCACCGAATTGTGATGCTGATCAAATTCAAGTCATTTTTCTTAAAAACTCACGTGATTTACTTTATCATCATCATCAATATTTAGCTTCGCATATGAAATCATGTCGTTGGCGGTTTATTTTCGCTGTCAATGTAAAATTTATCACAGCAACACTTGAAACCGCGTAGCTTTAAATATGTTGCCTTGAGGAGCTCCAGAAGCTGTTGTGGCGAAAAGGACAAGGAGGAATTTCATAGACAAACCATCGAGTGATTGATGAAGTGCTCAAACATCGGATGAGGGATTAATTTCCAGCCATCGTGAGATTACACTGAGACATCCGACCATGTCATCAATTAATAAAACCGCACCCTTCGCCTTTTTTTCTCTCTCTCCCCCTTTCGCAACTGATAGGGGAGAAATGCATGTGAATCTGTCATGCCGCTCAATTGCATCACGTCAATTATTGCATCATGGCTCGATATTCGTTTAATGTCACTCTTGACTCGTTCAAGATCCAAATGCAAAATTCATTTGCCATAAATTCATTAAACGCACACAGTCCCATATTATCTCATTTCATACCCTCTCTCATCCCCCCGCCGTCGATGTCACCACTAAATTGCACATTGCAACTGAGCTCGCGATGCAAATGGGGGTGCGGCTATTGGAGAGCAAGCACATCATCCGCAATCACATGGCTATTTGGGTGCGATTATGATGACTCTGGAGAACTGAATGGTGTTGTCTCTGGGTGGGTGGCAAAAGGTGACAACTCCCCAGAGGTCGGATTGCGCCCCACACCGCCCGGCGGTCACAGAATGCGACCCTCTGGATGTCTGCACACTGCCCCGAATCAAGGTATAATTTGCAATATTGCTCACGCCAGACAAATCATACAATGGACAGGGGGTTCGTGATTACACCCACAGTGATACAGTCGGTGTAATAAAGCACCCATTGACCTGAGGATTTAACGCACCCATTCAGAGGACTTTACAGCACAAGATACGGCCGATGCGCACCTTGGAAATTCACCCCTTTCCACCAAGGTATATTTGGTTGCATTTACCCCTCGGAGCCGCGCAGCAAAAGTCCATAAAATCTGGAGCCGGATTTCCAAACTCTCACGCCGCACACCCAAAATGCGAATGTCAAATTGAATTCAGACACTCGACACTAAATCTAGATGAGATTGTACCGCACCATATCCGGCTGTTACTTCACTTCACCCCCAAACTGCATGGGAATTTCTCACACACCATCAACTGACAGCCCAGATGCCCTCTCACCCCATCCGGAAAAAGTAACGTATGTGGTGTAATTGTGCATTTTCCGGGTGGCAACACAATGTGTGCGCTTTCACCCACACCGCGATTCACCAGAGATAATCAACTGGGCATCGGGACTTGGGATGGCTTTTTGTGCGCGCGAAATACGAGAAGGCGAATTTTACAATTCTTTTGCATCGATTGCCAACAGTTGGGCCACATTCAAATGTCATGTCGTGCAATTGTGGAGAGAAAAAAAAACTGTGTATGGATGCATAATTGCGACATCGACCTCACGAATTTATGGAAATTTAATCAATTCTATTTTGTAACCAGAGAAATTCCCACGAGAGTTGACGTGGAAAACACACCCTCGTGGGCAAAAAGAGTCAAGTTGAAGTGATTGTTTTCCCTGAAATCGCCCGCGCGGCGCGGTCCTGAGAGAACAAATGAATCATAAAAATGGCTTTTAATGCATGCATTCAGCCCAGCAACAATTATGATGCAAACGCTCACCGATTGAATTGCATACTAATCGCTTTGGTGGAAAATGATTGTCGCCGGCGGCAAATGGCTTTCGCGCGGGGGTGTTTCTGGGCAAAAGGAGTCACACATTTGCGGATGGCTGCGAGGGGATGGAAATGCGGCACTTGCGGGATTTCCAGAGTGGTTTGCGCTTCATGCCTCTGCTTTGCATATTTCACCGAGGGAAACACGCGCTTTTTCCGCACTGCCCTTAAAATGCATCATTGACTAAATACGATGAGCGCTCTCTTTGTGAAGCTCTCAAAAAAAAAGCTCCACGCGGAGGAGCTTTTGTGTGGGTATTTTTGCTACGAGAATATCTGAAAAGGGTTCGTCAATTGGGAAATAAGATTTTGGAGATTTTGAACGTTCGCCAAGTGATGAAAAATATCCAATAATGAAAAATGTTTTAAAGTATCGCGACTCTGGCTTCAAATATGCATAAAATTTTCACCAATTGCGCGCCGCGCCAGCTGATAAGATTAAAGACAATGTATTCAGAACAAAAAACTTATCACAAGATATACGTTAAATTAATTAGATAATGCTTTATTCATGATAACTCCACCACTAACTATTGAATCTTATCAGCCACAAAGTCTCTCCACATTTCCTCTCCCGCGCTGCGCGTCAGCCGACATTGATAAGGCGCGAATCGACTGATTTCATGTTTCACTCTTTCTCAAATTTCACAAGAACCAGAAGCTTAAAGATTCCCAAAAGTGAGGTTTGTGGCGATGGTGAAGGAATTTTCGCACTTATCGATTTTTCAGGGGTGAAATTCGCCCCTAATGGTTGCCATCGTGGATGTGTGATGTGTGGAGCTTTTGGGGGCTTTTGCGTGCGCAGAAAGCTCCATCGGGCTCTGGTGGTGAGAAGGGCGCATGCTATACATTTTTTCCATCATCGTCAGTGAATCGATTTTGTATTCTACACCATTTTGTGTGATATTGTACAGAGTGTTTGGTGTTACTGCTTTATGGGGCAGAAGAAAATTCTGCTTGGAGCCCCTCAAGTCAGTCAAATGTCCCCGATTTTGTGCTAAAAGTGTACACAAGTGCTCCAGACACACACTGAGGGATGAATTCTCGGTGAATGTGGTGACTAATTGCTGAATATCCGTGAATTTCTCTCACCCTCCGTCATACAAGAGATTGGGGGACTTTTGCAAGGGCTGCACAGCCACATTTTTCACTCTGCCAGAAGGATAATTCCGCCAGGAAAATCCATCTCAGCTGTTTTAGTGTGTGACAAAGTTGAGAAAAGTGCTTGATTTAGTGTGAGATTCAACTGAAATTGCTTTAGATTTGAGGTAAGAAGGAGTTCGCGAAAAATTTATTTTTCCTCCTCCGTCCATGAAGATTTCACCCAATAGAGAACCTCAATTACATCTCCATTGAGCCTCTGCGACGTTCTCATTTTCACCCAGAATTTTCTCCGTCTCTCCTCAAGCCTCTCCCGGGGTATCAAGTGACCTTAGACGATGGCACTCCGTCACATTTCTCAAGAGTCACACACAGAGCCTCAAATTTCAAATCCTAAATCAATAATTTATTTGAAATTTCCTCTCTCAATTTTCTCACAGCTCACGCACTTGCTTTTCTCAGGGAAAACCCGCTCTATATGTATGCAAATTCACCCCCGCCCATCGGCCCATTCCGACGCACTCACAAATGAATGAAGACTTCTCTGGACCACTCCTAATCGAAATCCAACCCCATTGATAACAACTGAAACATCCCTCGTGGCGCTCTCTTCGCGTGCCTCCATTGACCCCAATGACCATGGTATTAATACAGGCTGCAGACGCCTCCACAGCGCAATTTAATGCGTATCTCATGTGTCCATTTGTGCTCATAAATTAATATTTGAATGAGTCGCGCGTCACTCGGCGACAGGGACCTTTTCGGCGAATGCCTATAAAAAGGACATGCCATTCGATGACATCTGCAAATGTGCGCCCCATCCACTGATTTTTCATTCACACTCTCACTCTCAGCCATTGTGTGACACGGTAATGTGGATAATTCGATTGTGGGGGTGGTGAGACTTGTGAAATTGCCACCCTTACACAGAAAACACGAGACGCACGAGGGGAGAACATGGGCAGAAGTGGCAGAAAAAAGATTTTGCTCAGTCGAGGGAGAATTGCTCGTGAATGTGGTGTACAAAATAGCCGCGGAATTCATGGAATAATGAGAACAATAGAGAAGATTATATCCAAGGAGTTTCCCAAGAATGACTGACATAAGAAGATTATTCAATGGATCTCGATTTTTGAGCACAATTGCTCTCAAAACTTTTTTTTCTCTGTAAAATCCTTCAGAACGTATATAATTCCATTCAGCAAGTGGATCAATACAACTCTGCTCACTCATGACTGAGAATAACAAGGAGAATTATGAAGAAATGAGTGTTTTTTTCATTGACCACGATTTCTCAGCTCAATAAGTCCTTATGTCCACATGCTGACCAATACGCCCAATTATATAAAATCAATACTCATTGCATGGGAAAAGATAGTCCAATTAGGGAGTCGGAGAAATTATCACGTTGTGCGGCATTTAAACTCTGGTCTTTTTAAGCAATTTATTCACAAAGTTATTGCGCAATAATTATTTTTCCATTATGCTAACACAGAAATAACTTCCACAAATTCACAATTCAGCCTGCATTTTATGCTTTGTTGATTTTCTCCAAAGCACGAGCGCTGAAGTGGCGTTATTTGAATACAAGGAGCAACAGGAGTGATATTGAATCCTTTAAAAGGACAGCATGACGCGTGTACATGTTCTGTCGCAAAACTTCTCCCTTGTCCGTCAATCCAGAAGACTGTGAATACATGGCAAATGACACTGAACGGAAGGCATTTCTCCAGTGAGGCAAGAAATGCGAGAAGTGGGCGGCGAGGCGAAAATCTCGGCTCCCAGAGAGAGACGAAGGTGGGCTCGAATTTTCCTTTTCCACCCGCTCGCTCTCTGTGCGGGCGAAAAGAAGCATCATTGAGGGTGCTAAAGGAGAGTGAAGAGAGAGAGGCAAGTGAAATTGCTATGAGCGTAAAGTGACGAGATTTCCACCATGTGGGCCGCAATGAAAGGGAATTTTCTCTCTCTCAAGTATACGGATTTCATTCAATGAGTCCGGATAAAAATAGCCAATTGTCATTCCCACCCCGCCGAAATCACTCACAAACTCCAGTTTTGGCATAGATTTCTCCTTGGATTTCTCTGTCCACGCAATCAATACGCGAATTAACTGTTTGTCCTGTTTGCATCGCAGCGCCGAGGAAATGGCTCCGAAGGTGCAGATGTGGAAGAGGGAGGCGGTCGCGGAGGAGGTCGCCGATGTGGTCTCGGAAATCACCACCCTCGCCACCCACATCTTCGGTCACAAACATCACAAGCACTCCACCACGACGGAGACGCCGGATTTGGGTGAGTTTTCCAGCGAAGTACGACGCAAAATGGGGGATTTTTTCAACTCGCCCAAGGCATCATTTCTCATCATGAGTCTGGCGACAGAGTTGATCTCGAGCCGCCTCGCGGGATTTCTAGATCTCGACGGCACTGAGAAGTTTCAGCAGCGCGGCAGTGCTCAACTCTGGGGCCGGCGTGGGCGAGAAAAGCAGGCCGGGAAAAATACCTGAGAGAATTTCATAAATACTTGCAGAGGTTGAAGACACCAGCACCGCCGCCCCCACGAAAGGTGGGGTGGAGAAGATGGCCGATGAGGCCGTTGAGGTGACAACGAAATTTGCTCACGACATGGGCATCCCGACGTGGGGCCTCGTGGCGATCCTCATCGGCGTCGGCGTGGTGATCCTGGGCATTTGCTTCTGCTGCATTCGGCGCTGCTTCCGGAAGCGCCGCTCCAAGGATGGCAAGAAGGGCATGAAGGGCGTGGACCTGAAGTCCGTGCAGCTCCTGGGCTCGGCTTACAAGGAAAAGGTAATGTGATTCGTTGTCCTTGCAAGGATTTGATGTGCGGTGTTGAAAGTTGAAGACGCGAATTAGATAGCAATTGACGTTTTACAATTTGATGCCATTTGGAAGCCTCAAAAGCATTTCTTGTTTTTTTTCTCTTTATCTTTTTCACATTGGCCAATGTTCAACAAAATCTACCATCCTTGTCTCATACCCCCATCATCATCTATCCGTTGGATATTTACTCTGACGAAAATGTAGGTACAGCCCGACATGGAGGAGCTTACTGAGAACGCTGAAGAACCCGACGAAGGTGAAAGTAAACAGAGTGAGCAGAAGCTCGGAAAGCTCAGCTATAAAGTGAGTTGCCACTCAAGCATATTTTTTTTCCCAATCAACCAATTACATGCGTTGCGAGCAGAAGCTGCTCATTTTCTCCTCTCAAGCAGCGCCAGAAGAGAGAACATATAATTATGTTTGCATTCGAGAAGCGTGTGTGATGAGAAATCGATTCTTTGCAGCTTGAATATGACTTCAACTCCAACAGCCTGGCCGTGACTGTGAATCAGGCTGAGGAGTTGCCCGCTCTGGACATGGGAGGCACTTCGGATCCCTACGTGAAGGTGTACTTGCTGCCGGACAAGAAGAAGAAGTTCGAGACGAAGGTCCACCGAAAGACTCTCAATCCAGTCTTCAACGAGACATTTGTCTTCAAGGTGACTTTCTTTGTCGAGATTTGGGAGCTTTTCGGATGAACTAATGAGCGTCTTCATTGCCATTGTCTAGAGCCTCCCATATGCTGATGCCATGAACAAGACTCTGGTCTTTGCCATTTTTGACTTCGATCGCTTCTCGAAGCACGATCAAATTGGCGAGGTCAAAGTGCCGCTCTGCCAAATTGACTTGGCCCAAACCATCGAGGAGTGGCGAGAGCTGCAGAGCGTCGAGGGCGAAGGTGGTCAGGTACGAAAGCCCAGAATTAACTATAGCGCTTCCCCAGGACTCTCTCCGACCTCTCAATGTGACTTTTCAATGTCGCACATCATATTATGCTCAACTTTTCGCCTCCTTCCTTGGTCACTTGACAAAATACCAGAGGCAGCTGAGAATTTCTTTCCAGCCCGAGATGCGCGGGAAGAGAAAGATTACTTAGGGAGCGAAGAAAAAAACATTCCCAGCTTGGAAAAAAGCTCCTGTTTTTTCCCTTCAGGTGAAAAATATGTATCTCGACAAACAACCTTTTTCCCACGAATCCCCAAAAAGTTTTAGGAATGTGAAAATACCATCACGAGAGAAAGTCTAATTAGATGCCCAAAAAGAGATGAGCTTTTCCAACTCCCACCCAAAGTCAAAATATATATTCACTGGCTAATTAGACGATATATATATATATAAGATAAGGTGAATTCATTGCAATTAGCAAAAAATGAAATGTTTCCCATTAAAATATCATTCTCATCACAAATTTTTGTATTTCGAGTTTTTTAATATTATATCATTCTTATACTTAATATTGAGAAACTTTTCAATTATATACTGTTGAGAGTTTATTATATGATGACAATGAGTTTCTTATTTCTTATTTCTTTTTTGGAATGGAATGTCTTTTATCAGAGTTTCATATTTGATCTCTTTATTATTTGAGTTTCCACTTCTTTTTCACTTTGAACAACCCTTTTTCTTTAATACTGTGAGTAACTCCCGAAAAAGTCTCTCCTTCTGAGATGAGAAAAATCTCACGCAAAACCGAGTTACATTTCCGAATCTTCTGCTGAACGAACAGGTGATATTTTAATAAGAACATTTTACCGAATCTTTCATTTCTACCATTTTTCTTTTAAATCTTAAATTGTTTTCTGTTCTATGTACAGAAGCAGCAACACATGTTGTGATGAAAGAAGACAATTTTTATCATTAATCTATTGGTTAAGCAACTCTATATGAAATATCCGAAATTTCAAAAAAAAAAAGCGCTTTGCGCCCAAATCAAAAGGAAAAGTGTTCTTTCAACATATTTTCGCTTCTCAATTTTTTCTCAATCACCATTTTATGAGATAAAATAATTTCTTTTTCAACTCGTTTTACTCGCCATTAAGAATTTTTTAAAAAAAAGTACATTTTGCAAAAATTCTCTATCAAATAGCCTAATTTTTTACCTCACATCAATTTCTTTTTTGAACTTTAATTTTTCTTTTCAATTCACGTTTGAGCCTCTTTTCTTCTTGTTCTTTCTTTCTTTTCTATATATAAAAAAACAAGCAAAAAGAATTTCTTATGAAACTACATTAATTGGTTTTTGTATGAAAGCATTTAATCGAAAAAACGAGGTTTGTCTCAAAATCAGATTTACTAAAAAAAAATTATTTCATTTGAGTTTGGACGAAAAAAAGAACCAAAAAAAAACGATTACCAAAAACGAATTGATTACAAATTTTACAATTAATTTCCATTACAGTTATTGACGTAAATTATTTTTCTCTTTTTTCCTCATATTTTCTCTGCTGTGCTTACGCCTGTGAATGGTTGTGTCTTCAACAAAAAAAATTTGCATGTCTCGCTTCAAAAACCAAAATACCAAATCAATTCTCATTCACGTAAGTATTTTAATTATAAAAAAGAAACAAAAAAAACAAAACAAGAGAAAAGAAAACCGTCACGAAGAAAATATTTCATCAAGCAAATTTGAAGGAATATTTTTTGAGTTTTTTCGTTTACCTTTTAGCCCTGAGTTCCCGAAAAAAAAAAGAAAATCAAAAGAGAAAATGGAGGGATTTAGTTGGAGAATCAAAAAGCCCTTTCATTCATTGACACACTTTGGAGAGCTTTTCCACTAAATCCTTCCAAGAACTTTTTTCAGAGGTCAGAATAGCGAATATTTGTTTTTTTTTTACCACGTTTTTGACCAACGAACTTGTGAAAGTTCGTCAAGATTGACTGCGAAAATTTTGACAATTGGCTACTGCATCGAAAATCTATCCTTGAATTCGAAAAGTTATCCTTTTTCAAACTATTGCATCATCTCAAGCCGGATTTTTGCCCAAAATTTGGTTTCTGTACAAATTTCTTCCTTCCCCCCCCCCAAAAAAAAAGCTCAATCAGTTCATCTTCAATTTTATGCTCCTGATTTATCTTTGTTCCCATCGAAAAATGTTATTTTTATACCTTGTTTTTTTGTTTATCTTGGAAGATTACGAAAATTTGCTGTGGCATGAAAAAAAAAAGATCCAAGAATCGAGAAGCCAAAAACACGTGGGAAGCTTTAGAATTGGAAGTTTTTCTTTCGATATGGTTTGAGTTTTTGTTCCAAATATGTGTTTTGTGGTGCAACAAAGTGTCAACACAATTGATTTTTCTCCTCCCTCTCTTCGTCTTGTAAACACGTTAACGTGATTGGAGTAAGTTTGGTGAATGCTTTTTGATTTTCTTCCTTTAACGTCTCATTTTTCCGACAATCCATTTCAGTCAACATTTTTTACTCTATCTTCTCTCTCTCTCTCTCTTTCTACCTCTCTCTATTGTTACTGTATTTTTGGACTAACTGAGCTTACACCGCCCACAAATTTTCTCTTTGTCATACTTTATATTTTTTTGTATAACATTATTATATATTTTCAATATAAGAAAATAGTGCAAAAAAGTCACGAGAATCCGTTTTAACTGCACTTTTTATACTGAGTTTTTCTTTTTCTCAGGACTTTTTCTTTCGTTAACCTTTGCAACTATACTCAAAAATCCTCACTTTTGTATGGTAGAAAACAGTGTAAAATTTTGCAAAAAATTTGTTTCCCCATTTTTTGAAAGTATTTTTGAAACAGACAGAATATATATTTAGAAGATGAAGCACTTTTGATAAAGCATGTTTCTTTATCATTAATTCTTTTTTTGATATTTCTCTCTCTCTCTCTCTCTCTCTCTTTCTCATGATCGCGCGAAACAACAATGTACAAAAGATGTTTTTTTTTTCTTTTCAAAATACTCAAAAACCATTCATTTATCGCATAGAACAATCACCATATCATGGAAATTTCAGAGGAAAAGAGACTTTGATAATGCGCATAAAGCCCAATTCTTTAGTAATATTTAATTGCGCTGCAAAGCATTTTCTCAAGTCAACTCAAAATCGTTCTCTTTTTATCTCATTGGCAATAATAGCAGAACTTTTCTTTCTCACTTTGCACAGAACTTTTTCTTGTGTGTCTCCGTTTACCAATTGGAGGAACATTGAAGACAATAACAATTGCTAGCAATTTAATTTATATATTTATCAGATTTCAAGCCTATTTCATTCCTTGCAACACATTTTTTTCTTCCTTGTATATCAACTCATTCACTCAGCAATTTTATCCAATTACACTTGCTGCTGTTCTTTTCTTTTTGTTATACTTAAGATAAACCCTTTTAGCCATTTACTTAGACAAGACAACTCTCAACACTCAACAGGCCGCGATTGGATGACACACACTAAACATGACTATAAGTATGAAAAGAAACTCAATTTTCTCTCTCTCTCTCTTTGGAATTACTTTTTAATCAACTTTTTATCAGCTTTTAAATACACTTTTCTCAACACAATTTAAAGTAGAAAATTTCTCATTTGCACTCACTCGAGTGAAGTTTATTATCGCAACACCCCGAAAAGAACAGGAGGATTTATGGCCTTTGCAAGAAGGCTTCTTTCTCCGATGTAGAGGAAAACACGTAGAAGTGGCATTGAAGAAAGTAGTTTCGTAAGCAAGGCACATCATAAGTCATCAGAAGGCTGATATAAGATGAGTGTCGCACTGGTGACAAATTTGAGAAAGTACACTAGCGAGCAAACAAACCAACTCACTCTGCGTTCTCATATTTATTCACATTTCATATCGACGGGTGAATCGAAAACTATTTGATTATTTAGATGTTGTTTGGATATAATGTACTCGAAAATTACTAAAAAATCGTCTGTGGAAACCAATATTTTCACTTAATCTTCTAATTTTGTCATATTTTTGTAAAGAAATTTCAACAAATCTCAATAAAATCAACTAAAAAAATTCAGAAAACAATTTTTAGAAGGTCTTTTGGGGATTTTGAGGTAAATTTGGCAAGTTTCGATCACTAAATTTTTGAATTCTCGATTTTGACTTTCCATAGTTTTCTGTTAACCCGTCGAATATGTATACTTTTCCAAAACAGTCATCCAATTTCATTTCTCAGTCTTTTTTTCTTACCTTTCGCAACAAGACAAGCAAAACATACTCGAAAAAAAAGATGAAATATTGAGGGCTTACAGTTGTCGGAATTCGAGTGGAATTGGCCTCGAGAGGATTCTATTCAAATTGCGACGCCTGTGCATTCTGCGATGGTTTAAATTTCCACCCTGTTCGCGCTTAAAGCTCTGCAAATACTGCCTCGAGAGGAGGACAAACACAGAGAGCGGTTGAACTTTAAACCAGACATTGTGTAGCCCGCCTCCGCCACTGAATTGCTATATATTGATTTTTCCTTATGAATAAAGTCCAAAGCGACGAAAGAGGCGCAACTGTATATTGCCAACAATGAGAAACATCCAATGCTCTTGCGAGTGTTTTAATTGCGAGAGAAAACCTCTTATTATTTATCGATGTATTGTGACATTTGTTTGTCCTTCCAAGAGAGCCAAGGACCTTTCTTTATCGTGAATGTGAGTGTCTCCCCCCCTCCCCACTCCGCCCCTAGTGCACTCTTCCAGGAGATGAACTTCCCCCCCAAGAATAGAATTGATCTTGATGTGTGACAACCTCTTAAGGTTAATCGTGCTTTGACAGTGTTTCTATATATACCCAAAAAAAAAATAAACCCATTTCATTTTTAGCATCCGTCTCCCCACTGAATTTGCTGTATTTCTACTCTCTTTCTCTCTCTCTCTCTATCGCTATTCCCGAAACAATAAAAAAAAACCCAAGATTCTGTGCAAGACAATGCAAAATGAACCTCAACTGCCAATTGTTAATGCATAATTTTCCAGTAACACGTCGAGATAAAGAAGTCTTTCAATTGCCGGGATATTTATCTGCTCTTCAAATTGCGTGTTGTAGTTCTTTTTCTCAGAAATCGTCACATTATATAGTTTGTCCTTTGCCTCTTGGTGATGCTCGTCAACTCAATTGTCACATTTTCTCAATTGTAGGAAAATAAGTTGGGAGACATTTGCTTCTCATTGCGATACGTTCCGACAGCGGGAAAACTGACTGTAGTTATCTTGGAGGCGAAGAATCTCAAGAAGATGGACGTTGGAGGACTTTCAGGTTTCCTAAACTTTTTTCCAATTTACATTTCACCTCCTGTTGCCACATTTCGGATTTTGTGAAAGTAATATTTTGTTGTGTGTTTCTGCCACCTTTCAGATCCCTACGTGAAGATCGCTTTAATGCAGAACGGCAAGAGGTTGAAGAAGAAAAAGACCAGCATCAAGAAGTGCACTCTCAATCCGTACTACAATGAGTCCTTCTCCTTTGAAGTTCCCTTCGAACAGATTCAGGTGAGATGGACAGCTGTCCAGCCAAGAGGGGCAAACAACTCGTTGAGGAGGTTGATAATTGAGTGATAGATGCTAGAATTTTACTTATACAGAAGAGAAGCTTCGGAAGCTCCGCCCTATCGAATGCCACGCCCACTTGTATTACGTGATTTCACTGTTTAAACTCCTAATCAATATTTTTTTTTATCTATAAACCTACGAGTTGTCTGCTCCTTGAATCCACATTTAAGACGTTGTGCTTAAGGCTAAATTCCCCAACAGAAAGTACAACTAGTCGTAACTGTTGTGGACTACGATCGCATCGGGACATCTGAGCCTATCGGGAAGGTGATGCTGGGCTACAACGCTTCGGGAACGGAGCTGCGCCACTGGTCTGACATGCTGGCCTCGCCCAGGAGACCGATCGCGCAGTGGCACACGCTGAAGGACCCCGAGGACGGCGAGGGGAAGAAGGACTAAACAGGAGATTGAGGCGACTTTTCTCTTTTGATTGTAGCTGTTTGAGACAAAATTCCATTGATCCCTTCGGCGAGATCCTCGTAGGGATGCTAAAGCTAAAACCTCCTCTTCTCCTAAGAGTCATCGGACAAGAACAAATAAATGCAAAAAAAAAGAAAATAAAGTGTTAAGACAACCAAATTTTAAAATCTCCTCTCAAAGAAATCTGATGAAGAATATCTCCATAAAAGGCATAAAAGAAAAGTCTATTTATAGAAGAAAAGAAAACCTTTTGCTGGCCCAGCGGCTCAGTTTATTTGGCATTTGAAACCAAAGAACAAGAACAAAAAGGAAGAATAACTTACGTAACACCAGAGGAAAAAAATAAATTCTAACAAAGTGGAGAAACAGAGACAAGATTAAGAATCATACTGTAAAACATTGTGTTAATTGTATTTCAGAATATTATAGTATTCTTAAACTCTTTAGTCGCATGACAAACATTTAACCCCTTCTCTTGAAACAATAATAAATAAAAAACATAAAATTTCCAATGTGTATAAATTCCATCAAGAAAATTTATTGGTGTTTATCTCTGGGAAAAAAATAATGGTGCAGACTTTATGAGTGAAGCTTTTGCGTTTGAACCATGGCGAGTTTTATTTACCCCAAAAATAAGGAAGTAAAAAAAAAAACACGAATAAGAAGAAAAATGCATCCAAAAAGAAAAGGACTTGGTTTTGTCTTCCGCCTTTCAATTGTCTGTTTCCTTTCAATCAAACTAAATTATGCAGAGAATAAGAAAATAATAAAAAAAAGTATTGCTCCAAAAAAAAGACGTGAAAATGAAGGAAAAAATAGACGTTGTAAGAATTCAAGAAAAAAAAAGAATACAATAAATTGTGCCCTCGAATTAATTGTAATAAATTAATTGTATTTAATCTATGAGAGTGAGAGAAGAAATGTATAAAAAAAATCAATCCCAAGAAGAGCTAGAAGACCAAAGATTGTAGTTTGTCCGAAATTTCATATCATTGTACAGTTTCTCCTATTGAATGTCCATTGATTTTCGCATTCTCAAATTCCTTGTTTTTTTTGCAAAGAAAAAAAAACACACACCACACAAATCGCATCTCACAAGAACATTAACCATTGAAAAAGACAGAGGGAGAGAGCTATAGTGAATTGCAAAATAATCCAGATAATAGAATTTTTACATGGAAAATTCCATTCGACAGAAGCATGAGAAATTCTCAGAGAATAAGTGAGAAAAGAAGTATTGTAGTTGAAGAAGAATGGATTATGTAAGGATGAAAAAGACTACAGAAATGTTGTTATTTAGTTCTATATTGTCGTAACATAGATGATAGAGAGTAGAGACATGATTTAATCGTATGGAAAAGTGAGGGAGGAAAAGAGAGAGATAAGAAATGTAAATTGCACAATATTATTTTATATCCATGAGTATATTCATCACATCAAAACGATTCACGGTCAGCAGCTTTCAGGAGTTCCTCCTTGGATTGGATTTCTGCGCAATTTGTCCTGATACAATTTCGGTCTTCGCATCAAAAATTCATTGTGAACCTCTTAAAAATAAACACAGGCAAAGCGACATCCAAAATTCAAGACAGAAAGAGAGAGAGAACTTTTCCGGAAAAATTGCCTCCCGTTTAGATAATTCGGCATTTGCTGAAGACTTTTTTTTCTTTCTCTGTTTATTTATAATTTGTATGGATGATAAGTAGCTAAAAAAAAACCCGAAACAAATAGTAAAAGCAAAACTCGTCAAAATATTTGCGAATAGAAAAAAAAAAGAAATCCAGATGATAAAGCAAGAAAAATCGTACATTTAAAAACAAAATGCATCATCGAATTAGCTTAAAAGGAAAACACAGAGCATTAAAAAAAGATAAGTTAAAAAGGCAAAAAAAAGCATTGTAGTGAGTCAAAAATAGGAGTATAAAAAAAGGCATATAAATGACAGATTAATAGTTAAAAAAGAAAAGAGAAAATTTAGATAATAACTTGAGAATTGAAACATTTTCCTAGACAAAAAGTATCTTATTTCCTCTTGATTTTTTTTATCTTTTTGAAGAAATACCACAAAAGAGAGTCGTTGTAAATAAATAGAATGGGAGAACATCAATAATAATTTTCATACTTAAATTTGTGAGTTGAATCGAGTCAAAAAAGCCAAGAACAGAATGGTGAAAGAGAGTAAAAGTATTGCGTGAAGATCTCTTTGGTCACGGCTTCATTTTGTAAGATGTATAAATAAGTGGGATTCCCAGATTATTTCCACCTCTTTATCAGATAATGTGAAATATCGAGACATTTGCTGATTACCACTGTAAACAATGCTCCATATAATTAACCATATAATCATTAGATTTATGTGCTAAAAAAAAATCACACATTTCAGCTAAACGAAGGACTTTCGATCAAAGACGTATTTTCTTTGAAAACACAAAAAAAAAATCATCAATCAACGGCATGCGAACGGCTTTTTCAACTGAATAAGAAAGGGCAGAAGTGGCGCCGAAGTTTGTGAAAGTATTACTGGAAAAAAAAACAATACAAAGAAGAAATAAAAAGAGGGCGAAAATGAAACAAAAAAACTGAACCCAGAAGAATGATGAAAAAAAATCTCACAAATATTAACTTGTAGCGCAGCACGTAAAGTGATGATGAATTTAAATGTGCAAGAAAAATAAAGTGAAAAAAAATATATACCAAAAAATATTGAATATATATAAACATGAAAAAAAACATTATGTACTTATTGAAGAAATGAATATAAACAATAATAAATTATCATTAAACAAAAAGAAAAAAAAATTATAAATTTATGATTACAGAAAAAAAAGAAGATGAAGAAAATGGTGAAAAGACATGAGAGATGATGAAAAACTATTACTTTGTTGATAAGTAGATTGTTTTTTCTCTGGTGTAAAATATATTATACTAAAAACAAATGAAATATAAACATTATGACAAATATTCCGCATTTTTCCGCATTCACAGCAAAATTCGCCCCGCAATTTCCGCCTCATCAGAGCAATTTTTTGGGGGGTGGGAAAAGACACGTTCAGGGCTGATAAATCACATCATCCTTGGACAGGATAATAGGCGTCAATTTCCGCAATCCATTCATCACTTCTCCTCGTAGTATCGCCTCTTCATGGCCCGATACTTCCTCAGGCTGTACAGCGCCTTCAGCTCCTCCACGACGAATTCGCCTCTCCTGATGAGCTCCTGGACCTTCTGCGGATCCTTCTCGCCGGCATTCCTGGCGAAGGCCGCGTGGCAACGCGTCCTGAACTTCTCCGGACCGCCCGGATACTCTCTGCCCATGTACTGAAGCTGCAAGCGAAAGTCACTCATTAGCTTGAGAGAAGGAAATTTGCTGCAAATGTGAGAAAACTGACCTTCTTGTAGATTTCAATAACTCTGGACCTTTGACTCATCTTGTTTCGACAGTGATTTAATTACTTTTTCACCTCTGAAGTTACATAAACTCTCTTTTGCACGGAGAAACCCAGCAAAACAAACTCTTTCTCTGACATTCGGATTGTCAAATGCGTTATCACACGAACACAACGTTTATTGTGTATGAATGAAAGAGTGTTTGTGAGTAAAAGACAGGCCCGCATTCAGAGAATGTTTCAAACCTTAAAGGAAAGATTTCAAAGTGAAAAACTGATGTAAAATGTGCACCAAGAGATATTTTTACGAGTTTTTGCTATTAATATCATTTCATTTATACAGAAGTACTTAATTAAGATCCCAAAACTTCACTTATGTCTTCAAGATCTACAAAAAGACAGGGAAAACCATTCGGAAAATCTCCCTAAAATATTATTAGGAGTATAATCGATCATAATTTGCATGTATTTAATTGAGGACATCAGCTTTTTGTGTCGTGGGACGGCTGTGGCTCAGTGGTCAACGCGCTTGATTCCCAATGCAACAGTCGTGTGTTTGAATCCCACCAATTGCAAATGTTCGAACACAGCAGAGTGCAAAAAATAAGCCTTTCAATGGTAAATTATAGCAGCCAAAATAGGTTGCTGTTGAATGTTCCAGTGTCTCGACGCCCTTTAGTAGGCCATTATTCATTATTAGTCTGTGACGTCATAAGGAATGCCGCCATATTGAATAAACTTTTGAACGCCTGTATCTCGGCAATGAGATCTTGCATTTTCTTTAAATTCTAGTATGTTGTAGTCCAGGTCAGAACGTCTCTAAAGATAGGTTTTGATCAATTGAAAAGACAGCGAAACCAGTTCGTAAAATCTCCCTGAATTATTCCAATGTAATTCCTAAAAAAAACAAGAATATTATCGATCACAGTTTCCTTCCATGTATTTAATTGATCACATTAGAAGTCTTTGTCGGAAACAAGTGCTAAAATGCACACACTGCATGAGCTCCAGCTTCGTTTACAACAGTTAATGTGGGTCAATTCAGATGTTGTATTCGTGTCCGGATGGAATAGCTCAACAGTCTGTAAGATGGATAAGAAAGGCACATTAATATCAGTTTACATATTCTTAAACTCCAATAATTACTTTACTGTCTGTGTTGATTGATCCCACACATAGAATATTCTCTCCCAGACAAGTTACTCCAATATATCCGGGATTAACATTAAGCGTCGCCACGATTGTCCACTCATCTGCCTTGGGATCATATCTCTCCACACATGACAAAGGACGGTCGTTGCCGTTGTACCCACCGAATACATAGATGTGATCCTTAGTCGCAGTCACTCCGATATGATATCGGTGTTTCACCATAGGAGCCTCGTGGCTCCACTCTTTCGTGTTCGGATTGTAACGCTCAACAGAGTTAAGGGAAAATTGCTCATCACATCCTCCGATCACAAACAACTGTCCATCGAACGCAACGGCTTCAGCAAAATATCGGCAAATTGTCATCGGAGTTTCCTCGTTCCAGGTTCCGGTGCTAGGATCCAATCGCTCCACAGTGTTTAGAGATTCTTCGTTTCTGCCACCAAACACGTAGAGAAATCCATTTAGCACTGCAGTACAGCATTCAGATTGATACCGTAACATCGGCGAGAGTCTGAAAGTGAAGATAAATATTTAAAGTAAAACTCTTCAACTTTATGCTCACTTTTGACGATATTCACGTTTGAAGCGTCTTGGTTTTGACATCAAAACTGTACACCTCACATCTTGCATATCCTTCATGACGTCCCCCAATGAAAATTATCTTGTTGTCCATCATAGCCATGCCACAACATGACCGATTGACCCCAATTTCCATAGAAAATGTCCAGTTCTTGGTTTTCGGGCAAAATTCTTCCACGACATGACAATCGCTGTTTCCATCGAATCTCACAGAGATCAACTTTCTCGCTGCCGATCCGCGAGCCTCTAGCTTGGATTCATCAGCACGACGTGCTGGCACGAGTTGCCACTCGAAAGCTTTCATCACCAAATCCTGGCAATTTGAACTCTCGCACAGCGGCTTCACGTGATCGATGATAAACTATAAAACGAAGCGGGTTATAAGATTATTGGGGAATAGAGATCAATTATTCACTTCGGGTTGAAGCTGATGAATGCGGATGTGTGCCAAAAGGCTAGGAATGCAGTTCTCTCGCTTCTCGGAATCATGCCGAAACCAAGTCAGCAACGCGTGGAAGACATCTTCCTCAGATGGTACATTGAGATAATCTCTGGCCAGCAGTTTTCCCAGTTCTTCAGCAGAGAGCTGGACAAACTCTTGATTCTCGATCACTTGGAGGAAGTTTAGGTCTATGTAATCCTGTGCAAATGTCAGGAGAGTGTCACAGCTGTGCCGCTCGGCGAATTCAGCGAGTTCCAGACAGTTTGTGGCATCAAGGTGGTGTTTAAGAAACGTGCCACAAGCATTCACCACGCCGTTCAGTTGGAGACGATTTGCCGCACTCAAGAGCGTCATCGCGGATTCCAAAGAAGTCTCTTCGCGCAGCTCAATTTCTCCGGTGTAACAATAATGCACAAGACACTGAAGATCACCTCCCGAAATCTCGCCAATGGTGACCTCTTCTTCCCGAGACTCCCGGAAGTCGCCAATGAACATCGCTTCGAAGAACGCGCTGGCCGCTGATAAGAAGGCACGATGTGCTGGGATTCTAGGAAAACAAGGGTTGGCGGAATGAGATTTGCCAAAAGGCCAAGTCAAGAAGGTTGGGAATTCAGAACTCACTTCACTCCATCTTCAGCAGCAATCAGGACCACGTCGCAGAACGTCCTGTTCTCCTGATATAACCTCATTTTCTCGCACGTGCGAACAATGTGATCTCGGGAAGATCCCTGATCCTTCGTGCTGTCTTTCGAATTTGAGGCTTCCATTCTGTCACTTCATCTCGCAGATGCAGCAATATCGGCTTGTCTTCCCACAATTTCTGCCTTCTGTTGAAATTCACACTGTGATAAGACTCAGAGCCTACTGAGATGACTAATCACAAGCATCACGTCACCGGGAAACAACAATAAAACTGAAGTCAGCAGCAAATCTGTGGTGAATCCCCGAAATCCTGACTGATTTGATTTCAAAATCCGAAAGTAACGATCAATTTTTAGACGCGGAAAACATTTTCGTCATCTTTGAACGCCTCTTTGTCGCATAATTTCCTCGATCAATTCTCGAAAAGACACTGATAAGAAGGGAATTCCCTTCTTATCAATCTTTTAGCGAATTTTTCTTCTTTTTTCCTACTCAATTATCATGCCAGTAGAGCGCTGCAATTGGCAATCTTGCTTTGATGTTTTCACCGCCACGACGTTTGCGAGTGTGGGTAAAACACAGTGTCGAACTTGGGAGATAAATTGAGACTCTTGAAGAGATTTCAAAATAAAATCTGGCAGAAAAACCGCTTCCAAATATTTTGAAAGTCATCTCTAAAATGGCAATAAATCCTTGAAATCATTTAATTTGAAAAACAGACAGAAGAATTCCAATGCGTCCCTGTTCGCTTAGCCATCTGTGGGGAAACAGCGAAACAAACCATAAAATCTCCCATAATATTCAAAAAATGCCTCATTTTTTGCTGGATCAACAGCCAATAAATCACAGAAGAATTCTCATTGCAATTAGTCAGAGATATCAGGCGATGTCGGGACTAATTGCCTCAGCAGAGTGACATCAAGAGGCAATTTTGAGCGAAAAATGACTCTTGGACAGCCTCAGGCGCATCAACATTCACAGAAAATCTAAATCCAGACGAACTGCATTGGCAAATATGTGGCAATAATTGACAAATACACTTTTCACCCACGAGAATTTAATTAATATGTGAACAATTGATTCTTGATTTTGTCTTGCATTGTCGCAATTCTTAAGCATTTTCCATTTCATCCGCAGCGCTTTTGATATTCACGACGGAACGACAATCGTAAAATGCAAATTTGCGGCCAACATTGCCTTCTGTCGATCATCATTGGCACTTCTTTTGTAGGCTCAGCTGTGAAAAAAAAAGACCGAATTCTTGTGGTTTTTCTGGAACAGTAAATTCTCTGGCTGTCAAATTGGGAACAATTTAGCAGAAGTGAAACTTCCGAAGAATTCCCAGTTTGTCAACGAAATTTTCTCTAATTGCGCCTCAAGGTCGATCGCTGATGAAAGTGGCGTTGCTAATTGGAGGAAGAAAGATGCCCAAGAAAATTGGGAATATTGAGAAATCCACACTCTGATCGCAGGTGTTTTTTTTGACGATCAGGTTTCTTCTGAAAATTCTCGTCTGGGACGAACAGGAATTTTTATATCAACTCATATTGACAATTTGGATGAAGAAAAAGCCATTTTCAGTGGCAACACAGAAATAAAGTTTTCTTAATTAGTGTGACTTTGCGTGGAATTTTTTTCAGGACCATTAGCAAGTGCACAAGAGCAGCAATTAAATAAAAACATTTTATAGCGGAAGAGCGAGCAAATATGGCAATAATGAAGAAATGGCAAAAGAACTCAAATTACCCAAAATTATTTTATCCTTGCGAAATTGCTTCTGTCTTATCATGCTTTTTTTTGCTGAAATATCACAGCAAAACTCTCTTGAATGTCAATCGGCAAAGGCTAAAGAGACACTAAAAGTTTGGATTAATTTTCAAGAGTTGTGTTGAAGTTAGATTTCTGACAAAATTCACCACAATTTGAACCCGACTTAGTTTGCTTGATGGTCCTTAGCGGGGCAAATTGGCATTTGTCAGAAGACACCGACGGACTAATTAACATTCTTAGTCACATATTTCAGGCATGAAGAAACCCCGAATGCCAATTTCTGGATTAATTAGTGGGAAAGTGAGAAAAATAGAACGATTTCGGCTAATTGATCGCCACGTGTGCGTCTAATTTAATTTGTCACCACGTTCTCAATGCTCTATTGATTATACAATAATTCCAGTATCGATTTTCAATTCTTCCCAAGATCATTTGAAAAATGCACATCAAACAATTGCACCTTGAGTGTGTGGCTTTTCCCACCCAAACTCTTCCACAGCCCACAAAACAATAATTATGAGAGAGGGGAAGTTTAGTGTGACAAATACATTGTGGGCAAAATAATTAAAATGGACATCAGCTAATCATCATTTTATAATCAGCAACGTGATTCAAATGAGCAATGAAACTTTTCCTTGTGCGCCACATTTTCTCACTCCGCCTCTTTGATATAATTCCACGCAGGTAATCTAACAAAACACCGCGTCAATGAGCCTTCTTCCTTACATAATCCACATGTGTGACACAGTCAGAGAGGAATTTTCTATAATGACGTGAATGTTTGCAAAGTTTCTGACACAATTCTATCGATCATCTTTTGTAGGGAAAAGAAAATTGACCAATTATTAAAAAAAAAAAAAACGTGCGCTGGTAGATTTTGGTGTTGCGAAACAGCCCAGAGATTGACTGTGGGCAATAATTAAAACAGTTCATGGACCAGAGAATTAATAGATTTGCAGTTTAATTGTGAAGATAAGATGTTCTCTGCACTTCAATCTCAACCTTGACACGCTCACCTGTGAATCTGTTCTTGCAAATTGCCTCTGCGCAACTTAATATTCCTCTCAATCGTGAGTCAATACACTGTGGAAGACGATGTGATAAGACAACAATGAGCTCGTGGGCAAAATTGCATCACAATTGAAAACAGCAAATTTCACTCTCACGCAGCAAATTGCAATTTCTTTATCAATTTGTCGCACCGCTGAAGAAATGAGGAAGAGAGCTTTGAAAGAAATTTCACATCTTCCTCTGTGCGGTTGCGAAAAGTGCAGAAAAATACCTCAATTCTGACCCACAATTCCAACCTATTCAATTGCCCTCAAGAGGGCAAAAATAAAGCTCTTTTCAGTGAACTTTGTGCACTTTTTGCGTGCTTTTATTGCCTAAGATCTCCACATAATTGAATTCAAGCGCGAATTGATCAAAAGGTGTTGAGAGAATGGTGCAGAATTGCAGATGATTTATTCATTTTATGCACCGAACTTTCAATTCTAACCAGACTTTTGCATGTTTGGTTATTAAGTAAAGTGAAATATTTAGTTAGCCATTTTCCCCTCTATAATTCCAATAATATCGGTTTCAAGGAGAGAAAAAAATGTTATTTCAAATTAACTTAATTTGACTTAATTGACTGAAAACTATTGGAAATGAAAATTAACAGTTCACAATTTTTTTTTCCTTTGTAAAGCGCACTTTTAACTTCTTTCGGATCTTTCACAACTTCCCATCGTGAATATTTTATATATTTCTTTGTGGAGCATTTAAAGAATGAGCTGAAATTGATCCTTTAACCTCAGGATTTTGCCAATTTTAGTCTCTTCTGTGTTTTCACAACATGCCAAATTATGATTATTTATTGTGCGCCCACTTTTCGCAATTCCAATTTCCAAACCAATTTCACAGTCTTCTCGCCAAGGGGAAGATAATATGGCGAGAAGTGGTGTACAGCTCAGTAGAAGTATGTGAAAGTGCCTTCAAAAGTTACTTACAAAAAGAATTAACGCAATAAATGGAGAAAAAAAATCATTCTTTACATTTTTCTAGGTTATGTTATGAATTTAAGATAAACCTTGCTACTAAATAACCACATAAATCTTCCATTTTTACGCCTAAGTTCACAAGATAACAAGCTTTTTCTGTTCATAAACTGTGTTAATTGTGCTAAAATTGATCATAACCTCTAAAATACTGTTTTAGGTTAGAAAATTGTGCTGTTTTAAGAACTGATTGATTGATTTTCTGCTCAAAAATAGCAAATTTCAGCTCTTTGTCGATTTATAACAGATTAAGAATAAAAGTCTTTCAAGGATTCTTTAGGATATCTCAAGGTATTTTCTAAAATTGTGATTCAAACTTCATATATTTGCAAAATACAGTTTCTCTGTAAGCTTTCATGGTGATAAAAAGTAAAAAATTGCGTCTTTTTAGACTAAAAACACCTAAATTTTAGGTTATGATACTTTAGGCGATTGGAAAAATCTCAAAAGTTCCGCAAAAGAAGAAGAAAATAAGGAAAACGCATGTTTTAAGCACTGCCAAAGATCTGAAAGTGTCTGTGATTCATCACAGAAATTGTAGAAGTGATTGTACACTGTTTAGCCGCATTGTCTTCCCCTTGTCTTCTCCTCCGCAGAGATTCACCTTTCAGCGTCTTCTGCGGAAAGCGTTCGTGACTTGAGAGAGAGACTCTTCTGGGCGTCTGCAGAAAATCGGGGAGACTCTCTTGGTCCTTGTCGCTTCGCTGGCCATCGACGGTGGCTGAGGGAGCCGCCAAGTTGTCCGGCGGCGAATTGCCTAGGTAAAGTGGGAGGGAGGAGCTCAACAACCATTTCTCACCTCATTCTGGCCGCTCGTCTGTGTGAATTATTATCACTTGCCCCGCGATCGTCACTGCAGTCACTTGTGAGACTCCAAACACGACGGATGAGCCCAGATTCTCTCCAGTCTGCGCGATTATGCTGATCAAGTGTGACTTGTCGCGCCTGTTGACACGATCAATTACAGCCGAAGATCCGTGATCTGAGCTGCAGCGCAAGATAGAATTTTCGGACATTCATGAAAAATTATGCGTTGCGCAGATCAGTTTTTGTGAAATGTGAACAAAGTGAAAATTAGTGATCTTGTAATCGTGATCGAAAGAAGGCTTTTTCTGTGTCTCTTGCAAAGTGTGAAGACGAAAAATAAAAAAAAAACTGTAAAGTGTGCCTTAAGAGACCAATCGTTGAGATGTCACTGAAGATTTTCTCGGTACTGTGTGGAATCTTCCTCAGTTTTTCCACCAATTTCGCCACGGACACGCCAAAGGCCACGCTGTGCACAAATTCCAGCGTCAATTGGTCCTTCGTGTCGCTCAATAAGAGCTTCTGGGGTCAGAATGTCTCGCGAAACACGTCGGCGAGGGATTTCGGGGTGATTTTCGAGGCGAAGAGCGCCAAAGGGAGGCAATTGCATTGGGACAAGAACACTTTCCCGCCCGTGGATGAGGACGATCCCGTCAGTATTCACGAGGATGGTGAGTTTTTAGGCATTTTCTATGCTCAACATCGTTAACAAGAGCTCTGCTCATTTGAATGACTGTGGCAATTGCATATCAATGACAGAAACTTGGCGAATTTCGGAGAATCGCGCGGAAAATGAAGTCTAATCACGTCTCATTGTGCGCTGGGTGTAAAAAAAAATCACTCATAAATCAATGAAAGAATTTCATAGACACGTGCAGAATAACTCGAACAACGCGCCCAGAGTTCATAGACAATCACTGTTTTGTCCATTAAACGGTCAAAATATGGGGGAACTCCATTAACTTGTCAACTGTCGTCAAGTCATATTGCAAATTACTCACAAGACGTTTTTTTTGTCTGAAGTGCAGTGAAGCTATGAAAAAAAAATTACACTTGTCCTCTCGCACTTGAATAAAATTCAGCACTAGAAAATTGTCTTCTTGCACGAACGACCCTATTTTCCTTGACCATTTTGCCGTGAGAAAATTCCACTGGTAAATCGTGACTCCCGAAAGAAGAAATTATTACCTTCTCAACAAAGGGTGACTCTCTTGGTCAACCTCGGATTAAAATTTCGACAGACCATGGATCATGATATAATAACAGATATTTAAACCAAGAGAGAGAGAAGAAGAAAAAAATGTCATGAAGAAAGAGCGAAAGAGGTTTTTCCGGGAATGATCGTCACACGAGATCCACTCGGTGGCCTTTTTGAGGAATTTATTAAGTCACTCCCAAACATCTTGCGCCTACTCATAAACCCCATTTGGCGCTCATCGTGAATTTTCTAATCAGTTGAGTGTCCGCGATGCTCCAAAAGAGGCCCTCAAGAGACATTGACATTGAAGTTGAGACACAGAAGATTTAATGAGCTCGAGAGTGAAATTCCTCACCCAAATAACACTTTCCCATCATTGTCTATTTTGGTCAGAGACACACGACAAAATTTACGCAACACGGAAAAAGACTCTTACTTTCAGCTTTATTGCTTTTGGATGTTTTGTCTTTCTTGTCAGCGGGTTGAATCCGGCCGATATTGGTGGATTCTCTCTGTGTCTTTGTTTTATTTGGTGATTTCACCCGCAAATTGCATACATGTGACTGAAGAATTTCAATGTGATTTCTCGCCCGAAAATCCCAATGTAATCTTTTCACTTTTGAGCGTTGCATTTCAAAAGCGCCCCTTCAATTTTGTGCGCCATTTCCCAATTCACCCGAGGAAATCTACACACAACTCTAAACATCAACCAACTTTCCTGCATCTGCTTAAGCGGGAGTTTTGCAAAAGCCGCCAAGATCTATGCGTCCACAGGCACAGTAAACTTGACTTTGACGCCGGCTCTCAAGCGAATCCGTTCGCGCATGTCAAGCCAAGGGGGAGATAGTGTGGCTAAAATCGGTGCAGCACTTTCTCATGCACCCAAAACATCAATTTCTAAGACTATTAGTGCATTACTTTTCCGAGTTGTGAAGAATCTTTTGGATTAGGCGTCGCTTTTTCGACCACAACCTCGAAAAAAAACCTCAAGAAATCTTAAAGAACTCCATTTTAAGCTGATTTCAAGTCTAAAATCGACCAGAAAGCTTTGTAAATGAACATTTTTCAATTTCAAAATGATGTTTTTGAGGTTATGTCTAAAATTTAACACAACTTTCAGTATTTATCGCATGAAAAAAGCTCAATTCTGCCAATGAATAGCAATTTTCTCAATTTAAAATAGGAATTATTCAGTAAATATGTGTTAAATGTGTCACATAACCTAGAAAAATATTTGTATGCATTTTTTCTAAGTAAAACTCAAATACAGCTCAACAGAAGTTGAAAAAATCTTCAATATTCCTTTCCTGATTACTTCTTTTACTGACAAATTGTTCCATTTCTTTGGATTCCCTTCGATTTTCCGGCAGAAACAAAACGTAATAATCTTTTTTCTAGGTTATGTAACGAATCAAAAACCGAGAAATCATCAGTAATTGACCGAATTTTGAGATTTCAAGCTAAAAACGGTGCAGTTCTACATCTTCAATGTCTAGAAACACTGCAAACATAACCTCAAAAAAAATAATGTGAACTAGAAATGTCTATTTAGACAACTTTCTAGATGATTTTGATGGTGAATCAGCAATTTTGAGTTGATTGGCAAATCATAAGAGATGATTTTGTGATCTAGAAAGCTTTCAAAAGTTCTCTTTGTCATATTTTTGAGGTTATGGTCGGAAAATGCACGTCAAAATGTCGATATTAAGTGGATTATTGCAGAAATATCGGATGGAAAGTTAAAAGATTCATTATAATTTGTGGATCAATGTGGGAAACAGACTACAGATTTTGTATATTTTTAAAATTCCCCCTTGGGTGAATTGGTGTCTCAAATGAGAATTAAGACGAGGTTCAGCGTTGATTTGGAAGTGATAATGTGAACATATTAATTTAATACAGCCTCCTCGTCAACATTGATGCTCTCCAACACAGATTTCAGAGCGAATAGTGTGACATATTGTTGAGTAAATATTAATTCTACTAATTGATATTAATATTTTTGTGATTTCACAAAGCGCAGTATCATTTCAATGATCTTGTACGCCATATTTGACATTCTTCTTGCCATTTGAATGTCATCGCAAAATTAACTATGCAAAATTAGCGATGAAGAAACAACAATTCGCAATTGGCAATAACAATATCCTGTACAGTTTTTTTTTTTCTTTGTCAAATACTTTTCCCAAATTCATCAATTTTGATAGACAAATCACTTGAGTCCACACCATTCCAGAGGAAGAAGGTGGAAAAATGTTATTTGATCAGACAATTAGCGTGATTTTTGGGGAGTTATAAAAATAAATGGAAAATTGCTCAGCGTTTGAGACAATATCTGCCAAAGTTGTCATCAATCAGCAAGAGGTGCAGAAAAAAAAAGTGTCAAAAGCTTCCTCCCAAAAACAAAAAGAAGCTCATTAGAATATTTTATGGACCATCAAGGTGCAATTTGACCACTTTCCGCATTTGCCTAAACGATTCCCAATTTTTGCCTTTTCAGCGCTGCTCAAGACGCTCGGCAGTCGCTTCAGCGTCCTCGGGATGCCCTTCAATCCCGCCAGGAGTTCAGCGGTGTCGCCCAAGTGTCGCCAGGCGAGCGCCCACTATCTCGCAGCCCTCAAGAACTTCGACATGTGGGCAGTTAGAAGTAAGAACCCAGCAGAAAAAATGCCACACGCAACATGGCGAGAAATTAACATGACAATAAAGTCATCAACTTTGGCAGGAATTCATACAAATTGCCACTGAATTTCCATCAGACACTCTTTCTTTGCACAAAACATTCCCATTCATCATTCACAACCTCAACAAAACCATTTATTTTTCATGCAGCATGTGCCATGAATTTTCACCATTAAAGCCTCAAGAAAATGTTCCCCTTTGGCCATTATTTGCACATGAATTGCATAAGAATTCTCTCATGACGATAAGAAAAAAAAGTTCTTTTTGCTGCCATTGTGAATTGGCGAACAAATCATAATTGCATGTGGCAGAATATTTTCCAACGTGAAAATCTAAGTAAAAAGGTCACTTTTGATTATAATTAGCAATAATTTCAAAGATACACCAAATCAAGGGGTAAATATTATGTGTTTTTCATAATTTGATAATTATAAAAAAAAATATGAATTACTCAACAGTTCCCAGCGAACCAAAAAAGCTGAAAAACAGCAATCAATAGCCTTATAAACGCAGCAATTTCATCAATTTTCACAAATGTTTCGAATTTTCCTGCACTTTTTCGCAAAATATTGTGTAAATTTTGTACTTTGTTCATGACAAATGGAACAATTCTCTGTCACACATAAAATGTAAACATTGTGTTATATTCGTTTAACACACGCCTTTTCTATTCACTTGTGTTAAAAATTAAACCAATTTGTATCTCCTGAATGTGTAATTTCAACCCAACTTCCAGAGGTTGTTTTTATAGAATGTGAAAAATGTAGAGAACGAATGAGATTTAAATCTGCAAATATCTTGCAAAAATGGATCAATCTGGAATTGTGGCTCTAATTTTCAAGGATGAACATGAATTATGTTTCCAGTAAATTCCTTTTATCACGGATTTATTAGTGATGAACTTGAATATTAATAATTTTGCTAAATTTCACCAAAAAAAAAACTTATCAGAAAAATAGATGCGACATCTTTGAATTTAAGTGCGCATCAGTAATTTGGCTGGTCGCCGCTACGTTCGCTAGTGCAGCAGCCGAATGGCTAAAATATTAGCGGATAATAGCACTAAAATCAGCTATTTCAAGCTCAAGTTTTGCGTTTTAGCATTTTGTGCTCGCTGGATTATTAAGACAGCTTTGAAAGAAAGAATTCCTAAAATCTCCATGAAAATAATTAGAAAGAAATCAGTGATAATTTGCTCGATACACGCAAAGATAGTTTAATGTATTTATCTCTTTATAAAGAGTTTGATTGTAATTATCCCAATTAAATATGATTTACTGTGACTCTATTTGATCCAGTTCTTGTATTTCAACCAATTTCAGCAGTATGAAGAGATTATTAACCCCTTGAATTCAATTATCACTCAATAATGATCTTCTGTGTCGTCCCGCAAAGTGCTCGACAGTTCGGCCAAGCTTCCTTCCGGACTCCTGAACGGCAACGTGAATCAACTGGGAGACTTCGATCAGTGTCTGGGCGTGTCGGAGGACGCACAGGGAATCACCGGGCAGTACTGTTTGGCTTATCTGCAGCCCGAAGTGCCTGAGAAGTTCATCCGCATGAAGTTTCTCCATCAACTCATCCAATCTCACGGCGCTTTCCGCAGCGAATTCAACGACGTGAGTATAAATATTTGGCCTCATGTTGAGCATAATAAGACATTTCGCACTTTGGCCCCTTTTTGGCGGGATTCTCACTCCAACATTAGAGCCTGACTCATATTTGTGCTGCGGAATGTTATGGCGTGAAATGCGAAATGACTTCATACGTCAATGCTAATTGAACGAAGAGCGATTGAAGCCGATCGCGTGAGATTCTTTTTTTGTTGTCTGTGTTCGTAAAATCCACCCCGGAAAACCATCAACAAACCGCTGTTTGTCCAAAAGGGTGGTTGACTTAATATGAGTGTATTTATGTGTAAAATATTATGCAAAACAGCGCGCGCTTTGTGGACATCCTTGTAACGGTCACTGACCACCAGATGTTCTGCGAATGCGCGTAATTCACAGCGAAATACACTTCGTCAATTAGAGTCGCATTTCTCAGTATGGAAAACACACACGACTTTTGAGAAGCGCTGTGAGGAATTCAATAAATACAATTTTATTCTATTGACCATTGACTAACAAAAGCGTCCGCGAAGAAGTGCATCAATCGTGCATTTCCTTTTCCTAAATCACGCACATTCCGCAGTTTTGTGTTCAACGCCGATCGATTACAAGGCTTGATATGGCTCACAATCCAAGCAAATTACAAAAGATAAGACATGAAATTGCTATGGATAATAACTCACTCTTCCTGTGTTCGCAGCCTGGCCATCGGGTTCCTCGCTACTCCACCATTAACTGGGCACTTTGCGTCCCATCCGCCTGCTCCGCGGCGGACATCGAGCTGTCCCTGCTGGAGTACGCCAAGGAGTTCACGGCCGCCACGCGGATCGACCTGAAAGTGCGCGTGGAGCGAGAAATGTGCCAGACCAGAGATTCCCAGCCGACGATCGATCAGAACACTCTCATCGTCGGCGGTCTGTTCCTGGCAGTGCTTTTCCTGGCCGCCCTAATGACTCTCTATGACTTCCGCGCCACCAGCGAGACGCGAAACGACTGGTTCCTCACGTTCTCCCTGCGGAAGAACACCGAGGCGCTGTTCAGCTTCACGCGTGACGGCAATGACATCGCCAGCGTGCACGGGATTCGATTCTTCAATGCCGGCATGCTGATCATCGCGCACAAGTCCATGGCGCTCTTCTTCCAGCCCTTCGCCAACCGCACGGAGATGTCGGAGTACTTGGGACAGCCGTGGACTGTCGTGGGCCGCGCCGCGAGTCTCTACACGGATCCCTTCATCATGCTCAGCGGCCTCCTGACCACCTATTCGCTGTACGGCCGCTTGCAGCGCGGCCAGCCGGTGAGGATCTTCCAGGAATACGTCGGCAGATTCCTGAGACTCGTTCCCACCCTCGGCGCTCTCATTCTCTTCTGCACCTTCATCCTGCCGCTCCTCAGCAGCGGTCCGCAGTGGAATCTCGTCGTCACGCACCACGCGGAGATTTGCAAGACAACTTGGTGGCGGAATCTGCTCTTCATCCACAACTACTTTGGCTTTGAGAACATGGTTAGTCACCAATGATGTTTCTCATCCTGATGTGCTAATCCTTCTTCCGCTTTCCAGTGCTTAACTCACACTCACCACGTTGGAATCGACACGCAGCTCTTCGTCTTGTCGCCCATCATCGCCATTGGGCTGTACAAGTGGCCCAGGAGGACTTTAATGATCATCTTGGCAGTTGCTGGCATCTCAACAGCCGCCAGATATCACGTCACAGTCTCACGAAGACTGGCCAATTACATCTTCTTCGGAACATCGTAAGTTCATTGGCCGCCGACGAAGATATCCTTTGCTGACGCTCTTCTCTCCTGCAGTGTTTCACAGCTTTTCGACACTGCCAACTACATGTACATCCTTCCCGCTCACCGCGCCACAGTGTACATCATGGGCGTCCTGCTGGGCTACATCCTGCGCCGCTATCGGGATCTCAAGCTCACGCCCACGCAGCTGAAGATCGGCTGGTACAGCAACACCGCCCTCATGCTGGTGGCCTTCTTCGGGCCGGCGCCCATGGGCAGGATCGGCTACGTGTACAACACCACGCACGCCGCTCACTACGCCGCGTTCGCGCCCATCGCGTGGTGCAGCTTCTTCGCGTGGATCATCTTCACGTCCCATCTGGGCTACGAGTCGCTGCTGAGTCGCATGCTGTCGTGGGAGGGCTTCCTAGTCACCACTCGCCTCTCCTACGCCATCTATCTCACGCAGTTCCCCGTCTTCTTCTTCAACGTCGGACGCACGCGCACAGCGAGCAGATACGACTTCGTCCCCGCAACGGTGAGTCTCCGCGCTCTGCAAGGATTTCAGCCTGATATTGACACATTTCTGTTCACTTTTGCACAGCTTGATTTGTACGAATTCCTCTGGATTGGCATCACTTCTGTCGCTCTCACACTCCTCTTCGACACACCGTTCGGCAACATCAAGAAGCTCCTGTTCAGACGCCCGCCAAGGAGGAGCGAGAGTGACAAGACAAAGTGCGCGGCAACGAAGGAAATTGTCTACAACACGAACATCATCAAGTCACTGCTGGACTAGAGATAACACAATCCAAAAAGCCAGGATTTTTTTCATCCTGCAAAAAATTGTAATTATAGGATTTAACAAATTTTGTACACAATATTCACTCATTGTTCTGTGACACCTTTAGAAAATATATATTAAAAATGGAAAACTTGAAGCGTTGCGCCTTTTTCTCACAAACTCATTCAGTCTACTTTCCGGCAAACTTCACACTGAGCATTTTCCCATGGAGAGAAAGAGAGTCAATATATTGCAAAAACAAATACCTTACAATTAATTTATCTTTCACTACGGCAACTGTGTCACACCCGGAAGAGGTCCTGCAGCCTCAAATCTCCGTCTCTGCCGTCTTCCGGTCCAATACAGAATCAGCACACTCGCCGCCGCAATAAATCCCACCAGATTTGTAACAATAGAACCTGAAAATGCAAGTGAAATTAGTCACAGAAGCTGAGAAATATTGCTGAAATATTCAAAAAACGCTTTTTGAGAGAATTGACCCAAGTTCTGACTCAAAATCAAGTCAATCCATGATTTATAGTCATCATTTTCAGATAGAAATGTTTCATTAATGAGTTGAATGAGTTTCAGAGTCAAGTCTTTATGGAATTAAGCTAAAGACTTTTGAAATCTGCAGCAAAATGTGCTGCTTAATATTAAATAAGGGCTTTTGCCATTATTTCTCATCAAATTTGACTGTTTCTGAGTCATTTATTAAATAAAATCGCAGCCAAAAATGCAGATCAAATGAAGTTATTTGCTCTTAAGCACCTCGGAAAACCTACCCATCAAGATGTAGCGGAAAGGACCGACGACCTCGCGACAATTGAGGTCTCTGTAGTGGAATTCCGTGCCGCCGGTGTCCGCCACGGGCGCGTCCGGGTCCTCGTGCGCGTCTCCGTTGGTGTGTCGCAGGATCTCGAGGTGATCCGTCGTCTCGTTGCGCCGCCCGAAGAGACACACGCACGTGGAGCTGATGGTGAAGATGTTGGACGGCAGGCAGTTGGTGGACGTGGCGGACAAGGCGCCCAGATGCACGGCGGCGAAGAGTGAGGCCAGCAGAGATGCCAGCGTGGCCAGAATCACGCACACGCTGAACTTGATCTTCAGCGCGCGAAAGCACATCTCGCGGGATTTGCTGCGCGGCGCCCTCTTGAAGTCCATCAGCGAGCAGCCAATGGAGCCCGCGATGATCAGCAGAATGCCACTCCAGTAGGGATTGTCCTGGGCGCGCGTGCTCGGCGCCCACAGCAGCAGCCACAGGCCAATGGCGAGCGCCAGAATGCCGCTGAGGATCTGCATGATCAGGAAGAACTTTCCCCACTTCGGATGTCGCAAATTCAGCGGATTTGGCGTTCCATTTTCTGCAAGACAACAGCAAAAACTGCAATTAATCTCAAGAGCGCCTGAAGAAATTGAAGAAATTGAAGAAATTGACGAAATGAAAGAAACACGAAAGTCATCCTCGTAAAAAAAAACCTACAATAATTTGAAGAATGTTCACTCGAATTCAATCCATAAATTCCTCACATTCTTTTTTTCTTGCTGTGCAACAACAAAACTATTCATGTAACGCACAATCTCGATTTCTAATCGATGCTGTGTTGGGCTTTTTGCTCATGTGTTGTTCAACACTTTGAGGCGCTCGTCAGGAAGATAACAAAATATGTTATCGCAACATTAATCAACTACCAGATTTTAACATTTGCACACACTTCAAGTGTCAATTAAGGTAGAAATCATTAGAGATTTGCCAGACCAGGAATTTCCTCCACACACACACACACACATTTTCCCGCATAAGAAATTACAGTGAAAACCTATTAAATGAAGGCGTAATTAATGCTTTTGTTCTCTGCCAAATGACATGGCATCAAGTCAATACTTGCAGTTAATCTTGAAAAATCATCGCATAGAAATGCGCAACATTTCAAGGTAAATTCTCAGAATGTGAGGAAAAAATTCACCCGAAATTCATCAATTCTCCTTGACTTTGACTTATTCGCAAAATGACATCATTTTCTCAGAGAGAATCACTCAAATCCGCCTCCGTTTTATAATATTTGCTAAAATATCATTTGTTTTCCTTCTCTGAGGATGAGACAATATTTAGGATAATATTTACATTTTAAACACTTTTTTCCGCTCTCTCAGAAGGAATCGCGCTTTAATTGCACTTTATCTTCATTTAATATTTTAGCAAGGAATAAATTAGTAGGAAAATGTGTGAAATCCAACGACTGCAAGTGTGTTTTACAAGCAGATTCAGGTCATAAAGATCGGAAAAGAGCAGACCAAGGGGGAGATAATATGTCTCTTAATCTGTAAATCACTTCCTAACAACTCCAGCACTCTAAATTTTTAGACTGTTTCCACAATAATTTGCAAATTATAATAAATATCTGAGAGTTTCATGCGTTGTTTCTGTAAAAATTCACTTAAAAATGCTTTTTAGAGCATTTTTTCCGACCATAACCTCAAAAATGTCACTAAGAGATCTTAAAAGATTCTGAGTGAAAGCTTTCTGGATGATAAAATAATCATTTTCACTCAAAGTTTAGTGATTCAGAATGAAAATCGTGCAAAAAATGATTTAAATAAACATTTTCCAATTCCACTGTACTTATTTTTGAGGTTATGTTCGACTTCAATACAATTTGCAGTGTTTAGCAATGTTTATCGATTGAAAATGATTAATTCTGTCAATAACTAGCAATCTTGGCGAATTGAGCATAAGAATTGATGTGTTGGAATGAGAAATATTCACTAAATCTGTCCCTGATTCGTTACATAACCTATAAAAGAATTGTTTCTTCGTACAAATTCTTAAGAAATCCATAGAATTGAGATGATTTGGCAGTGAAAGAAGCACGCAGAAAAGAGAGAATGGAGGTTTTTGAACACTTTCACTTCTTAAGTACTTCTGACTGTATTTTTTCCCCCTTGAAACAGAAATATTCTCACCTTTGAAGCTCTTATTCACCACGAGCATTCGCGAGTGTCTTAAACTCGATCGCGTCGGGACGTGACGTCCTGTAATCTGCGCTGGCTTCATGTTCTGCGGCACTGTTGTGGCCATGTAGACTGACTGTGGAAGGAAAAGCAGAAGCTTCAATTCACTGTCAAAGCCGAAATATCATGCAATGGAGCAATTTTCAGTCACATAAAAGACGTAAAAAGTGTGTTGTATTGCCTGAATGTGTAATTTTAACACAACTTTCAGAGGTTATTTTAATGAATCTGCATTTATCTTGCAAAAATGGATCAATCTGCAATTGTGGCTCTAATTTTCAAGCATGAACATGAATTATATTTACAGTAAATTCTTTTTATCACGGATTTTCTAGTTCTGAACTTGAATATAATTAATTAAGGCAAATTTCACCATTTTTCCTCTCTTACACATTGCGAAATCACTTAAAACTCAATTAAAACACTGTTTTAGCGAGAAAAGCAAAGACTGTTTTTCCTTATTCATTTCGATTGCTAAACTTTTACATGTTTGAAGGTTTAACATGTGTGTGTGTGATTGAGAATTGCTCATTAACATTCTCGTTGAAGCTCTTCTTCCAAATATTTACACAACCGGAGAATTCTGAGTGAAATTGAAGAGAGTTCACGGAAGTTTTACACACTCATGATCATTTCGAGAGGTCATCATCGCACTCTCTCAACCTCTTAAGCACTCGAGTGATAGAAAGTTCGCTCGAAGGCCACAAAAGTTGCCAAAGAGCGCCAAATTGCCCCCCCGAAAGAAATCCACTTCAATTTTACTGTCGGTTCCGCTGAAAATTGATTGGCAATTTTACTGAGAATCACTTTCCCGCGCGCGCGCGCACGAAAGGTCAAAAACCTCTCAATTCAATGCTCAATCTTGGCCCTTATCAAAGATCTCTAAATCACCCAGGAAGAGAACGATAAAAATACGAATTCTTTGAGAGAGAAAAAACCAGCCAGAAAAGCTACAAAATATCTTACAAAATAGTGAGCAAAAGAGGTGCGAGAGAAACATGTAAAGCAATTAAATTCCTTCATTCACTTATCGCACACAATTTACATTTCATATTAATTAAAACATGACGCATGTGAAGATGCCATAAATTACGCAATACTGCAAAAGCCCAGGCGAATAGGAAGACAAGACCTCAATTCCCTTGGCCGCGCCGAAGAACAGTCTCTCTCTGGCGATCAGGTGTGAAAAATTCACCCAACATTCTTTCCCGCATGAAAAATTGCAAATTATTAAGTTTTTGCACAACAGCAGAGAAAAAAAACAGAAGTCTTGCGAGGTGAGAAGAAAATTGTGTCATTTGTGGAAATTGCATTTTATTGTTGAGAAACATCGCCAATGAACTATTAGCCCGTCTTCAGGGACAAAACACACGAGAAAATCTCAAATAACAACCAATTTCTGCTCATCTAAAGGCGCACTATTAAGTACAAATGAATTGTACACATTTTCAATGCTATTGCAATAATTAAGGAGGGACGCTTTTTCTTCTCTCTCTCTTTCGCTCTCTGTCTAGAATCACAAAAAGATCCTCTCAATTTTTCTTATTTCGATGGGTGAATCGAAAACTATTAAAAACTTGATTTATCATAGTTTTCGTCTTATGTATTTTTGAAAAGCTTTTTATTCGTTCTTCCTGTATAAAAAATTTTGAGTTTTCTATCTTATTAGACAATAGTAAAAGATTTTAATTATCCAAAAAGCACAAATGGAAAAAAATTGTCATGTTTTGCGAATGAAAACTCGAATATTCAACAATTTTCAGTGAAAAAAGTCTCAAAAATGGCAGTGAAACGCATCAAACGCTTTCTTAGACAGCAATATTATATTTTCAGAATTATCCTAAAATGTTTTTTAAAATTTTTCAAAAATCGACTTGAAAACTATTAAAAAATCGACTTTGGAAAGCAATATTTTCAGATTTTCTATTAATTTTACCATATTTTAGTCAAAAATTTCTAGAAATATCAATAAAATCAATTGAAATATTTACAAAATAAAAAAATACAAAGCAATATTTGCACTTTATCGCACGATTTGAAGGCGTTTTGAGGGTTTTCAAGTAAATTTAACGCTAAAATTTAAACTCGCTCTGCTTAAAAATAGCGATTTTTCTTTACTTTTGATAGATTTCTCAATTCACCCAGCGATTTGTGATGCTATTGAAGCAGAAAACGCCCCGGAAAAAATGGACAATTCAGTTGCATTATTTCCCACGTTGTATGATATTTTTTCGACTTTTGCGCATCTGTAGAATTTCTATGAATGATTTAATTAAGCATTGGCATGAGATTTTCACTCTTTCTCTCTCTTAAAACACGATTTGCCCATGAAAATCAAACGATTGCAATGTAATAAAGTGTAGAATTAAAACCACAACACAAAATATTACTCCGCAACTCAATCAAGATTAGTATTTGTGGTTTTCTTCGACATTTTAGCAATCATATCGATGAGTAATAAGTTGGCGAAGGGAAAAATTCCTCACCTGTGATGGTTGACTTAAGCGATTCGACTCACTCTCTGACACACTCTTCGCCGGACTCTTGAGCCTGGGCACAACGTCCGCCTGTCCAGGCGACTCGGAGGACGACGAGGAGTCCACGAGTTTCATCTCTTGCACGTAACTGAGCTGCTTCTGGAACTTGTGACTGTTTCGCGGCACATTTTGGTAACTATTGGACGTTGACGCCGTGCTGTTGAAGGTGTTGACAACTTCCGGCAGCAGCTTCACCGTCTCCTCGCCATACTCCTCGGAATCCTCCTCGTCCTCGTCCATCCTCAGTCGGATCCTCCGCCGCGGAACGCCGCCGCTGCTCTGTGCGTCGCCGTTGAGGCCAAAGAAGCTGGATTTGGCACTGCTGATGGACGCCTTGCAGTTCTGCCGCCTCAGCTCATCACTCTGCACTGACTCGCCGAGATTCTCACTCATCTTGTCAGCCGCCTCAGTCGCTTGGCGTTCCGCGCTCGTGGCGTCACTCATGACGTCGTCGCTGCGCCGCGCGGGAATGTCGCCGAACTTGAAGCTGATCTCAGTGTAGGGAAAGCCGCCGTTCCTCTCCTCACCCAGAGACGCCCTGGCGCTCCGCCGCGCCTCGCTCTTCCCATTCAAGTTGTCGTACGCGCTCACGGGGCGCGCGAGCTTGTCCTCCGGCAGCGAATGTCTCGCGGAGTCCACCGTTGAAGTCATATTGCCTCATCCATCTGTGCAAACACGCCTGCGAATGGCAAGAAAGCGAATTGTCAGCAAACAATAATGCTGGCCACTCATTAAAACAGGGTCACAACATCGCACAGTGGCGTAGAGAAAATCACAGAATCTTCCAGTGACAAATATTAGCGGCGTTCGACAGTAATTCAAGTAAAATCTCAATTTTATGCGTGCTTAAGTCAATGAATCTATTTCTTGTATTAAATAATGGCTTTGAATCTTGAGAAAAGTAAGAATTTTAACTCTTAAACATGCTAAAGACGCCTAAATTTTCAATAAAACCCAAGAGAAATCAAGCAAATCAATGAAAAGGAGATGAAAAGTCTCGAATTATTGTCTTTTTGAGCTGCAAAATGGCTGAAAAATTAAATAACAGTTCTTCATTGAAGTCAAATCTGACTCAAGGGAGCAATAATATGGTCAGATGTGGTGTACAGCTCAGCAGAAGTGTTATAGAAAGTGAAAGTGCTAAAAGATTTACAATATTTCTTTTCTGTGTTCTTCTTTTACTGCCAAATTATCCCAATTCATTAGATTTCTTGTCATTTTTACGCAGAAACGACTGTAAAAATCAATTTCTAGGTTATGTAATGAATTAAGGACAGATTTAGTGAATAATTTGCATTAAAGGACATCAATTTTTATGTTCAAATCGGAAAGATTGTTAGTTATTGGCAGAATTAAGCATTTTGGATCCTTTGATGCCAAGAAACACTGTAAATTATGTTGAAATCAAACATAACCTCAAAAATTGTCATCTAGCCTTAGAAAATGTGATTCCTTCAAGATCTCTTAGTGACATTTTTGAGGTTATGATCGAAAAAGATGTCCTAAAAACGATTTAAAGTGAATTTTTAGAGAAATATCGAATGGAAATTTAAGATATTTATTATAATTTGCGAATTAATGTGGAAACAAATTACAAATTTCATATTCTGAAAGTGAAGAAATGATGGAATATTGCTGAAAAATCAGCAAATCGACACTCAAGTCAACCAACGATTGTCACAGTTATTTGACTATCAATTCAATTGTCTTGCCAGAGATAAACTCACCGAAAACAGCAGTGAGAATACGAGAAACATTCATTGCAAAGGCGGTTAACACCAGTTAACACGCTCTTAAGCGATCTTATCAATGTTGTGCAGCAGAAATTACTGTAATTACTTCATTTTTTTCAATTTTCCGGATTCCATTCGAGCCAATCGCTTCGATTCAGAGACTCAGAAACTCTCAGAGAGTTGGAAGTGAAGCTGGGATTTCGCGAGATAACAAGCAAGATTGCTGAAACTTCTGAAACCTAACACAACTCAACACAAAAACATGCTCAGAGCAATATTTTCAATATCATTCAACTCTCGGCGAAGTTATGCAACACAGCGAGTAAAGGCATGAATTGACTTCTTCTCATCGTCGTCATGTGAGGAAATTTTCTCTCTCTCTGTGTTCAAAAACACCTGGAGAAACGGTAAAGTACGGTGTGTTGAGCAAAAGAGCAGAAATTGCACAGACAATGGATCAAAAGTGGACACGCTAATGCGACGAGTACTTGTGGAGTGAGAGTCTTTTTTTCTCTCCCTCTCGCCGGGAAGACAACAACAGATTGAAGAAATTCACGGAGGCGTGCGCATATTTAGATAATAAGCAATGAGCGAGGGTCGCTCAAGATGAGGAATAGACGAATAATTTCAGTCGGAATATTAAAGAATATCCAAAAATGGATGCAAATATAGGTCAAAATCAAATTAAAACATTTACATCGCTCTTAGAATACATAGAATATAGAGAATTTATTTATTTGTGAGCGAATTAAATTCAGCTACTTCACAAATAACATTTTAAAGCATTTAAACACCCCAAATTAGCCAATTGATTAAATTCTTGTATCAAAAAAAGGGCCAAAACAGGAAAATATGTGAAAAAAAACTTGCCGCCAGCTGGATTTGAACTTATGAACGCAAATGTGCGAAGGAAAAGGACGCAAAATGCAATATTAGAAGCTTTCCAAACGAGTATTGTGGAAAAATACATTCTCGGCTTGAAAAAGGAGTTCTTAGGAGAAATTTCAAGCCCAAGAATAGACATTAAAACGTTAAACAGAAAGTTAAGGCATAAAACTTTCTCTCACTTTAAGAGAAAAGCAATTCTTAGTATCAGAAAGGGTTATTAGAGATAATTTTTGTAGAGGAAATTATCTTTAGTCAAGGAAAATACACGAAAAAGGAAAGAAAAGTGAAAAAGAGTTGTGAAAAAAAAGCAACTGCAGGAGAATCGAACCCGCGACTTCACGATCTGAAAGTCTGTCAAGATTATTTCGAAAGCATAAGTTCAAATTAGGAATGGATGGAATGGAATGTTATATGGAAATCTGAGGAATGGAAATGACTTTTCTTCAAATTGAGCAACCCTCGGAAATTGAGGAGAAAATTGGGCTCAATTTTTGCTCTTTCCTCTTTTCCGCCACAAGAGCGTCGCGTCATGAGGTCTCTTCTTGTTTTTCCACGGGAAACGAAGAGAGAGAGAGAGAGAGAATGTGGTCTCTAATTCGCGATAAGTCGCATTGGAGTGTGCAAAATTGTGACGAATAGCAATCAATGGCTTTGTGGGGCATTTTATTCCAGCAAAGCTCATCAACATGGAACGAATATTATTCATTTTTCACCGCTCTTGACCACACAAAACACACATCTCGGCGCACTCGTTTGCGTCAACGCAGCGCGCGGACAAAAAGAAGTGAAATTCAACTAAAACTCGCGATGTTTGCCACTAAAAAGTACCAGATATTGTCGAGTCATTACCTTGCTTGCACGGCAGCCACTCTCGGGAAATCACTGTGATGATCTCTCTCTCGGCGATTGCGCTGATGCAGAATGATCGCACTTTATCCTCTTGTCCTGTTATCACGTTACAAGCCAATGTCATCGATTCACACGCACGGGATCACTTCTTGTCACATTCAATTGCTCTCTTTTCTCTCTTCTCTCTCACTGTGATTGCGGTAAAGTGCGAGCGCCGCTCTTTTGTGCGCTCCTCCAACGTCGGCCGACCAACTTCAACTGCGGCGCGACCACTGAAATTCCAAGCAACCAACCAAGGCGAGCGCGCTCAAGAGTTTTACGGCATCGCAGAGCGCGACTCTCTTGCAGGCGCGCGCGCAGCGATTTTTCCTCGCGGCATTTTTCCATCGCGGTGTGAAAACCGCGCGCAGAGTCTGACCCTGGAAAGACACACAAGAGAGACTCTTCTCTCTCTCTTCTCTGGCTCACCGAAAAACCCGTGTTTTTTTTCCTTCTTCTTCCCCAACACACAACATGATCTCAACAGCACTTCAATGCCTAGAACTTCAAGTGTGTGACTTTCACGATTGGTACTCGTCGCAATCTTGCATTCTCTTTACACACATCTTTTCCTTCTCCGGCAGGTTGCTTATCTCCTCACCATCTATCATAATCATTCGCTCTTCACAGCAAATTCACTCGCTTAGCACGGATAAATCAGCTTCAGGGCGAATTCAGACGCGCAAAGTTTCACTGAAACTTTCAGCAGAGGAAATATCAGTGAAATTATGCAAATTCTTATCTTCCACTGCTGATCAAGGGAGAGATATTGTGCTGAAGCGAAAGTAAATGCTTCTTTTCTGATTAAAAATCACCGTAATTGTTCAAGTTTCTTTAGAATATTTCCACTTAGAAGAATGAATCTTGGTTATTTTCTAGATTATGAGACATTTAGAGACAGATTTAGTGACAAAACAGCATTAAAACAGTTCCATGCCATATTTCTGTAAAAATCAGCTTAAAAGCGCTTTTCTGAGAGTTTTTCCCAACCATAACCTCACAAATATCACTTACAGATCTTAAGAGACTCCAATTGGAAGCATTCTAGATGATAAAATCATCTTTTATTACTTAAAATTGTTGATTGAGAGTTAAAATTGTGCAAAAAGTGATCTAAATAAATATTTTCCAAATTCATAATACTTACTTTTGAGGTTATGTTTGACTTCAACACAATTTGCAGTGTTTTTTTGGCATCAATGGTTCAGAAAAGCAATGTTTATCTTATGAAAATGTTTAATTTTCTATCAAATACTAGCAAACTTGGCGAAATATTCACTAAATCACTAGAAAAGGTTTGTTATTTCGAACAATTCAAAAGAAATCCAATCAATCAAGAAACTCTGTAAATTTGCTTGCTAAACTCGAATATAAACTTGAAATTGAAGCTCCGATATCATAAGGGACGTTGGCATTTATGTATCCAACTTCTTCTGCTGCAGCGAGAGTCTCGTCAGAAGGAGAAGACCGCCATGACAGTAGCATTCTCGCCACAATATCTCCAGAGATATCAATTGAGCAGAGCTGAGTGTTTTTCCGGTTGGTATAGGCAATTTGACTTACAAAATCAGCAACTTTTTGAAGTTTTCCTTAGATTATGGCTAAAAAAAAATATGCTCAAAGGAGCGATTTAGAATTAATTCATACAGAAATATCAGAGATATCGAGTTAAAAGTATCACAAAGTGGCCAAATTTCAGACATATTTTCTCCCCCTCGAGAAAATTTCATGAAATTCACAACGTCTAAAGCGTTGCAGAGTGAATATTTTCCCACAAAGTTACGCACCTTCAAATGCAGCATCTTCAATTGATCATCTTCTTCCGGCGCAGATTGCGCGTCCGCCATAAGTTGATCTCCTTTTTTTCTGCGCTTCTTTTTACACCCGACACAAAGGCTAAAAATAATCTTCTCGCTACTCTAAATAACAAACTCTGACTTGAAAAGGGAGGCAAAAAGAGTGAGAAGAAGATATTGTAAATACGCCCCCAATTTTGGACGAAAGAACAATAAATTGACTGCGTGTGGCTGGAAAGTGAAGAAAAGTCAGCAGATGTTCAGCATTTCCTCGTCGAAAAATGCCCAATTCGCAACTGTGTCTTCTTAACGAGACATTTATTGCTTCCTCTCATTCAATTTCTTATATATTTTCCACTCCCTTGAGTATCTATTTTTTCCTTTCACCTTCCCGATCAACACACAATTGACCATCGAAAGTCCAAAAGCAGAGCCTCAAAATACAGGTCAATCATCTCTCTCTGTGCGTCTTCCTCTTCTCTTCTAAACACACTCACAGCAGAGCAAATTAACGCAAATTACGAGGGTCTCTAAACAAAAAGGTTATCTCTCTCTCTCTCGCTGTTTCTCTCTCTTTGTCTTTGACACAAATTCCCCGCCGGAAGTCACTCCGACGTGATCTATTTATAAAGACCATCTCTTGCACAGCCCAAAATTAATAACCAATGTCAACCCGCGAGAGTTTCTCTCTCTTCCAGACACTCGCGAAAGAGCATTAAGTTGTCAGCATTTAATTGACACGTCTTCACATCGACTGTGATTGGAAAAGGGGTTAATAATCCAGAGGTTTGTTTATTTGCTCTATTACAGTTCCTGCCCAGCTCAACACGAGCAGAAACGACAATTCAGAATATCAAGAAGAGTTCTAAGTGTGTCCATTTGTGTGACTGTGAACTGTTTTTCCCCTCCCAATTTCTCAGGGAAACTTCTTGAGTCTTTGAGTGACTCTTCAAGGAGTAAATATGAGAAAATTCAATAAACTATTAATGTTTGTTTTGTTCCCCAAAAAAAAACAATTATCATTAATAATAACTCTTCACCAAAACTCAATTCAATTCTCTCGCTTCGCCCCCGGAAAAGGTGAAGAAATTAATTCAAATTAAGCTATGAATAAAGATAAAAAGGAAACTTGAAATTCTTCTCTCGTCTGACTTACACATTCGCCTCCTCCTTAATCACCTGAAAGTGCGTCGTGCGTGACACTGTCACGTTGTTCCTCTCACACTGCACACTCTTCATGTAGATACTCTTACGCCTGGGCGTGATATTGGCCAGCACAATGCCCGCCTCGACGCTCTGACCCAAACATCTCTTCACCAGCGGCGCCGTGAGACTCTTGCTTCGCCTCTTCTTGAGCTTCTCTTCCTCCTCCTTTGGCTCCTTCTTCACCTTCTCATTCACCTTGGCGATGTTCCTGTGCAACTTTCTGAAGCGCTTCGCCACAATGTCACCATTCTCACTCTCCTGACTCAATTCAGAATCCACAACAACGACCGGCGAAGGTGTTTTATCATTGCGACTCTTGAAGAACTTGTACGCTTTCGGCACGCTGACTTCCTTCTGCTCCTGCGGATTGAACAGCTTCCTCTTCGTCACCGGACGCACGGGAGTCTCATCGCGAACAGCATTGAAGACATCATCACTCGAGCTGACAGTGTTCTCCTTATTCGCATCCTTCAGGAACTTATCAATGGCCTTGGAAATGTCAGGAATTTCATCCTTACTCTGCGCAAAGTCAAACACATCCACAGTCTTTGAAGCATTGCTCTTCTCCTCCGTCTTAGAAATACTGCTGGAAACATCGACAACTTCTTCTTCCTCCTGTTCTGTGTCATCAGGAAGCTTAAACATTTCGAAACTGGCAGTTTTCTCATCATCTTCCTCATCAGAAATCACCATCGGAATGACTTCTGTGGTTGTCTTTTGGGAAAACGCATCCACAGACGGATTTTTCTTCTCAAAACTGACATCCTCATCAAGAGAATCTTCATCCTTCTTCGTCTTCTTCGCCTCAGGAATCTCAAACACATCATCATCATCATCCTTAGCAAGACGCTTCTTCGTGAGCATCTCTTCACAGTCACTCTCATCGCTCTCCAGGTAGCAAATCTCCTTCATCCTGGCGCTTCTCTTCCCCACCGTGATAGGCAGAGTCTTCAGCGGCAGTTTCTTAGCGCGCCACTTGCTGTTCTCCGTTTTCTTAGCCTTCGCCTTCCTCGGTGTCGCCTTTCTGACTCTCATCTTCCTCGGCGCTCTCTTCTTGGGCGTCTTGGCGGACGTGTTGAGCCTCTTGATGATTTCCAGGTGTCTCGAGAGACTCTTTCGTCGCTCTTCACCCTCTCGACGAATTTCCTCGGGCGTCATCTTCCTGCGAACCGACAGAGAAGCCTTCGGGCTCTTGATTGGACGCGAAACTTCCGTCTGAACGCTCACTTCGATCTGCGGTGGACATTTCTGTGGACTCTCTGGACACTCTTCAATCACATCAAAGCTGTCGCTTCTCTCGGGCGAATTGAGAAATCCTCTGAACGGCAATTTTGAACAAATTGTGTCCCGAGAATCGTCCATCGACTCCTCAAAGTGCGTCTTCTCAACACGCGATTCATACAGAATCGGTGAGAGTTCTTTGGGCGTGAAGAGAAGCGGCGAAAGAGATGATTTGACGGGGAGAGGCTGTGTTTTTGCATCAAATGACACCCGCTTGGCCGACTGAATGCTCAAGAAATCCATCTTTTCGATCGTCTTGTTGATTTTCTTCACACGATTCTGCTTCAATTCGCCATTTGCCTGCAAAACAGCACAAATTTGAAGTGAGAAAAGTGACAAACTAGTAAAGAATTATTCTCACCTTCATCACAATTCTCTGAATCTTCTTCAGCGTCTCATTGCCGTTGTCTTTGTTTCTCTCTGGCACGAAGAAAGTGCACCTGAGTTCGTTGATTTCGAGAAAATTGTCGGATTTGTTCGCCTCAACGTCCACAAATGTGAAATTCTCCTTGGCCACAATCCTGAGTTCCTCCTCGAAGTTCATTCTGCCCGTGACGAAGCTCTTGATTGTCTTCACAGGAATGAAAACCATCATCAATTTCTCCTCGTTGCCATCGAAGAACAGCAGCGAACTGCAGTAGATGGAGATGTTGAAGGGGAATCTGTTGAAATTGATCCAAATTGACTCTCCCTGCAGAAGAATGTGGAAAAGATTCAGTGATAACACTTGGAAATGCTGGTTTTCTTTCCCACCTTTCGCGGTGAACACTTAATTTTTCCCAATTGCAGCTCACTGACGGCAAACGAGACAATCTCGCGATCGACCAGCAGATCGTTGAACTCATTGAGACAGGCTCGAATGCCAGGCTCCACATTGGCGGGCTTCAGGGACATAAACACGCGGCGGAAGTAATCGAGTTCGGCGTCAGGAAAGAAGACTTTGGTCAGAATCGTCTTCTGCGACTGATCCATGCCGTCCAGGCAGCGGTACAAGAACAGCATGACAACGCGCTGATTGCGGTACTCGCCAGCGTACGAGAGACTCCAGCTCAGGGAAGCTCTGGAACAGGGATTGAGACAATCAAGAAGGAATCTCCAGTCAATTCTCTTCGTCTTACAGCTCTTCTGAGTGCTTCATCACGAGATTCATCACAGCATTGCGCGGAATGAGGTCCAGCAGAGTGTTGAGCACGAGAAGGATCATCCTGCCGGTGACCCAGTTGTCCTGGCACTTCAGGAAGATCCGGACAAGCGAACTCAGCACAGCGCTCAAGACTTTCACGTTCATCTCGTCGCTGCTGTTGCGACACAGTCGCACAATCTCCTTCACGATCCTGCCCAGAGGCGCCTTGAAGGGGCCAAAGTGGTTGCGCATCTTCTTATTCAGCACCGTCAAGACAACTTGAATCATTTTCAGGTTTTTCGGAGTCTGCAAAGGACGCCATGTTTGTTATTGCAATCTCGGCCAAGAGCTATTCTCCCCTTTTTTTCACCCAACTCACCATCTCCGAAGCAGTGTCCTCAATCATGGAGATGATCTTCGACATCTGCTGCAGCACTTCATTCACTTCTTCCGGCATTTTAGACATTATTCAGTGGAAATTGGAGCGTTTTCCTTCACACCGCGCACACAAAAATCCAATTCGCCGGCTACTGCAGCGCCGCCATCTGACCACTAGTCGAAGTGTGTTCTAAAGGTCGATCGGGTGGAGAAATTCACCACTGGCATATTTAAAAGCCAACCGTCACTGTCATGTTGTTCACACACAAGAAGTTTACTTCTTAGCAGGCATTCGAGGAAGATAGAGGCCCAAACAAGACTGACCTCAATTCCGCACAGTGTTTGCCCGATCAACAATTCCTCTCAGGTTGACAATCTCACCCTGCAAACGGTCAATGCAAACAGATTTTATTTGTCCGTTGAGCAAGAATGCGACCTGAAAAGTTGAGAAAAATGATCAAATATTCTCATGATTTTATGCGCTTTTCGAGCGAGAACCAGCGATCAAGAGTGCAATTGGAATTTTACACACGATAGCGTTACTCGACGCTGCTGAGAACACCGAAGAAGCCAAAGAAGTTCTTCTGCAAGTTGATCATCTTCTCGTGGTTTCGCATCATCGGCAAAAGTGGAGGCAGAAAAAAATCAATCGCGGAAAACTGTAACGTGATTTTGCTCTCGAACAACACAATCGCACATCAACACAGGTAAGAAGAGTGTCTTAAAGTCAAGGGGTCCGTAATTTGGTGGAAAAAGTGACAATGTTTGCAAACTTCTACAAAAACTCCTTAAAAAACATTAAAAATTCACGTAAAATAGCCAAAGAGTCGAGATATTGGCCTTTTTCCACTTTTGCTTTAACATCTAAACATCATCATCGTCTAAATGAATGCGTAGACGGCAAAATGTTCCCTCGTTCAAGTTTTTGGCGGGTTTGCGCTGCACAAAAAAGCGAAACTTGCCGAGGGAAAACCCTGTTTTTCAAGCAAATGGAGAAGAAATATCTCTTTGGCATATATAGAAGCAATGTAGCCCCAGAAGTGCTCTACACATAGGAAAAATAATCTATCATAAAAGTTTTTCCGTTCCGGAGATATTTAGTAAAATGCTGTGAAAAAACCGGTGAATATTTTACTGAGTGGCACACAAAAAATCATTTTTGACCAACAAGGAGTGATTTTAAGTTTCCACAATGTTTTACAAAGTTGTAGATAATTTCAATATCTATCATTTGAGCCTAATTTGAAGAAAATCCGTGGAAAATTGGGCGAGATATGAGCCCATATGTGCGGCAAAGTGGGGGAAAATGGAAAATAGGCTCCAGAAGGAGATCCTAAGGATCTAGGGGGCCAAGTGAGGCATCGTTGGAAAGCTGATAACTCAAGGAATCTAAAAAAAAAACCACATTTCATAAAAAGGGCAAAAATTTGTTCCATAGTGAATAATTTATAAGTTCTTTTTGTCCAGTGATTTCTCTGGGGAAATCGTCCTTTTTTTCCACTTGTGCAATTCAGGATTGACCACGAATTCCTCCGGTGATTCGCCCCTCCAATAAAGGCAACAGTTGGCGAGCTGAGCGCGATCAGTTGCGCTTGTCGGCGTGCAGAAAAGTTGTGTGTGAATATTTTTGGGCTCTCGAGTGGAGAATTGAAAAGGAAAAACCAGTTTGCGCGCAACTTTCAACGAGTGCGGACGTCTTTTCTTCGTCACTTTGCGCCTTCGTGAGTGTTCAATTCAAGTTATTGACTCAAATGTGCCTCTCGAGTGTTTTGTGTGACTGAGAAATTTCCACTTTTGTGCCGTTCTTTTGAAGTGTCGCCTCGACAAGAGTGCGCGAAAAGTGCATCAAATCCACTTGAAGACAAAACCTTCCCAAAAAGCCACTTGACTCTCAGCCAAGCTCTGCACGCAGTGGCTTTTTTTTTGTACAGAAATGACCTACTTCTAAGATCCACACAACTTCAGCCATTCACTTTCGCATCCCAATAAAAAAAGGCAGCGAGATCGAGTGCAAAAAAAATACCTCAAAACGATTGGAGATTTATTTTGGGAGTGAAGCTTGAGGAAAATCAGGAGGGAAAAGCTCAGTTTCATTGTGCAAAAGTCAGTGAAGTGACTCTCTCTCTCTCTCTCTCTGTGCATTTTGGAAGACACTCGCAAACAACAATAAATTGCCCAACGCTTCATTCTTCCTCTGGCGTGAAAATTGTTTTTTTTTTAAAGTGAATTTCAGTGGAAGGAAAAGACAAGAATAAAACCCCTCGAAAGACCAATTCAGAGTCACTTCGAAAATGTGTGTAAAAATTCACTCAATGTGTTCCCAATAGGATTTCAATAGTGAAAGCGTTTGTGTGTGAAAAAAAACATCAAAGCTTAATGCAGCACAACTTTTCCAATTAATATCAGAGTCTTTCTCTCTTTTTCTCCCTTTTTTGACTCTCTCTCTCTCTCTCTCCCTCTCAAAAACCAAATTGCGCGAAAGTCAATGGAATTGCATACGACAGTTGCCAAAAGTGCACAAGAAGCGAAGGAAGAACAGCAACTTGACCGGAACTGAACTTGGAGGAAACGAGATTCTCGCGCGCGAGCGCGAAGAGTGAGAGGAAAACTCCCACAGAAAAACGCCCGCGAGAGTTCACATGCCTCAAGGATTTCCATATATCCAGTTTCGCTCTTAAAAATTATGTGTGAAAGTTGAATAATTTGCACTTTGATGGGCGACAGAGTGGGGCAACATCAGCAGGAACTACAACAGCAACACAGAGCCGACCAGGAAGGCTCCTGGCCATAGAACAATCGCCACAAGATCCGACATCTTGGGAACTCTCTGTGATCTTTCCTTGCAAACAACTCAGCAGAAAAAAAATGACTCTCAACGGTGATTCTGTGCCAAGTGTGCGACAAAAGAGGCTGAAGAGCTTGAGGAAAATTCCCCATTTAATCCCTCATGTTGTGTTATTGCTAGTATTTCATCAAAGTATCGGAATAAATAGTCAAGGTGAGTGTCTTTCTTGGTGTCTCTCGTGCCACACAGTGACTCTGTCGCTGTGTCTGTTGATTAGTTTCAGCAATATCTTTGGGAATGACTGCAAAACTTTCGGCACTATTTCTCAACTCCAATTTAGTAATAAAAATTTGCAATATTGACAAGGCGATATTGACAAAGAAACAGATATTTTATCATGTTATCAAGAGTGATGAATTAATATACAACATTTCTTAAATACTTAGTCTTTCATCGGATATTTACGGTTTTACTTCCTGACCCTTCCAAATGTCTGATTTTACTTCTGTAGGAAGATATTTCTGCAAGAATCCACTAAAAAAACGCTTCTTTGGGTGTATTTTTCGACCATAACCTCAAAATATCACTAAGAGATCTTCCAAAATTTCCTTTGGAAGCTTTCTAGATCAAGAAATCATCTCTTATGATTTTCCAATGAACTCAAAATCGTCTACAGGTGTCTAAGTCAACATTTTCCAAGTTTAAATGATTACTTTTGAGGTTATGTTTGACTTTACTATAATTTTCACTGCTTTTTGATATTGAAGATTCTGAATAGAAACGTTTATTGCATACAAATGCTTTATTCTACCAATAATTCACGATATTTCTGACTTGAGCGTAAGAATTGATGTGTTAGAAAGCAAATTATTCACTAAATACATAACCTAGAAAAGTTTAATTATTGTCTCTACGTCAAAAATCAAAGGAAATCCAAAGAATCGGGATAATTTTGGCAGTAAAAGAAGCACTCAGAACAGGAATGCTGAATGCTTTCTCTGAAATATTCTTTAAATGTTCTAATTTCTATCTTTAAAACTTAAACTGTTGTCAAATTTTTTTTTTAATCTTTTAAATATATTTTTTCTCAAACATTTCTTTAATCTTTTCTCTAAATTCCGCATAGAATTCTCAAGTTCTTTATTGTAAGATCTCTAAATGTTGAAGAACTCAAGATCAGGTAAAAATTGCAACACCACGACTAACCCTTCGTGTGAATCCGTGCCTTTTAAGCCTCTTTTGTCTCTCCAACTTTGTGATATTGTCTTGATTCCCGCCCCGTTTAATCTAACTTAAATATATGCAAATTACCAACTATATCAATAACTTCAAATCACCTGCAAAGCAACAGTCAAACATCTGAGCGGACAATGAGAGAAAATTCGCAATTAATGAAGAAAAAACAACCTGCGCACGATTGAGGAAATTACCTGCGCTACCTTTCTCACTCTGTCAAGGCGTCGAGTTTTGTGCAGAGAGGAAAAAAAAGAGCTCATAAGAGAACAATTTAATTGAATAATGCCAATATAAAAATCACTTCCTTGTCTTAATGGTTGGGGCAAAAAAAGCGCACCTGAAAGAGAATCTGACACGGGTCTTGGTCGAAATTTTTCACTCCTCGCAAAAGATCAAATCAGTTGAGAATGGCAGCGAGTTTGCAATGAAAGTTTTTAAAGACAAAAGAGCCATGAAAAAATAAATATACTCAATATAAATTGTTGCGATGCTCAATGAAGCGTTGCCGAAGTCTTGTTTTTTTTTCCTCATTTGTCCAAGGCTGGGCAGTTTGGTTGGAAAAATAGGCAGTGTTTTGATGAACACCATCATCAACTGTTTATTGATCTTGTGAAATTTTAGAGGCATTCTGGGTAAATGAACTCTTTCTTGCCATGGGAAGAGCGCGCGCTGCTAAGTTGTCCACAAGATTTTTGGGCTCTTCTGCTGCACATTTGCCGTATAATTTGACGGAGATTCACACACTCTCTTCAGCGCTTCTTGCGGCGATCTTTAACGGTTCCGTGGACCTTTTCTCACAAACCAGAGAGAGGCCACAAAATGCGGAGTCAACAGCCAAAATCCACGTCTCAAAGGGCACAAAGTGGTTCCGAAATTGCCTCAAATTGTGTCACACCAAAAATTGAGGTGGCAAAAGAGATTTTTTGTTGAATATATAATATGAATGGAAGTGGCGAGAAATAGAAATGAATCTCCCACAAAAATTGCCTCAAGAAAATCATTGCGACATTCCACAGACCAAACAAAAGGCACAAATGATGTCGCAGAGAATCAAAATAAATATCAGAAGTGAACACCTTCGGATTTGGCTGAAAAAAGTGTCCAAGAATTGGGGCCAAATGGCCAGAAATTTATGATAAAATATTCACTGCAAGCGAGAGAGAGAAACAAGTTTGTGCGCTATTTTGGCAATGAAGTGATCACAAAAAAGCCTCTTAATTGCATTTCACACTTGATCATGGACAATCTTGACCTCTGAACAGTTGATTTGGCGATCAATCTTCATCCCTGCCGAGAGAAAAAAAGGGCATGAAAACACAAGTGAAGAAAATAAATTAGGCACTGAAGGTGAGGCTAAAAAAAAGGCTCAATTAACGAAATCACACATTTTCTGCACGCGCACAGCCAACAATTCACCTTTGAATTGTACTAACGACACGAATAATTGCGAAGAGAGACAAAGTTTTATGGTTAGAACATGACGAGGTGAAGACAAGAAGGTAACAAGCATTTAAATTTTATTTCCCCTGCAATCGAAGCGCGTCAGAGTTGAGAAGACAAGAAGTTTTGCTGAAGAAAAGCTGAGAAACTTATTATTAAATTTCTCTAAACAAATATTTTATACGCAAAATACTCAGAAACAACACATTTTTCCCGATGAATATGTCGAATTGTGGTAATATTTTTGCCATCGAGCAACTCGTTGAACAGGAAAATCACCACAAAAGACGGAGAAGTTCGCAAAGGAAACGAGAAACGCCAGAGAAATCGCACGTCGTGTGATTCATGGATATTTTCACTATGATAACTGCGAAAAACCTTCAAATCTACCAATCTTATCAACTCTGCGCGTCCATTCTGAAACACACACCGAAATTACATTGAAAAAGTGAATGTTGGCCAATTTAAATGGTTGATTCTAAAAGTGAAACCAACTCTCGGCGCCGCAAGTAAATCATGGAAAAATTATGATGATTTGAAGCAAAGCGCATGAGATGAATATTTAATATACATGTGAGTTTTTGTGCTCTACTGCATCAGATGAATTTCCTCAACTCACACACGACTTCCTCTCCTCCTTCGTGCCTTCAGCACACCTTCGAATGGCGACGGCGCAATGCGCAATGGTATAATTTTGGCGAGACGCTGTGCAACTTGTTGCAATCCCGGCTTTTTCGCGTTGCACACAGAAAGAGTGAATTTCGTCTCTGCGCGGAGGCTGAAGGTGGAAATTTCATGCATGATCTACCTTTTGTGAGACCGAGAGCAAAGTTGTGTTGCACCAGAAAAGCGGACTAACAAGAGCTGCTGTGGGTTTTGTGGTTTTTTCTTTCAAATTTTGCGTTAGAAAGTTCACTTGAGGAGTTTGACTTATGTGAAATGCCAAAAAGGTTTGTGGAAAATTCAATCACACCTGCCAAAAGTACACTTTTAGGCACACAAACTCTCCCCATTATAAATTCTCTCTGGCACACAAAAGTGCCTTGCATAATTGTCCACCTTTCGCAGACAATTATAATCATTTTAAAAATCAATTTGCGCCTCGCGCGTAATTTTTTCACTCTATGTGAAACGTTTTCGGAATAATTCTGATCGGACAATTCAACATCGCGCGCATCCTCAGCTGTGTGTGACTTTCGCAACATTGTCCAATAATGCATTTGATATTGCCAAGACATGTGAATAATTTCACTTGCCAAAGGCTTATGGCTTCAGAAAGGTGTTTTTCTTTGGCTGGTTTCTTTACCTTTTTGCTCCCTCGACAACAAAAGCGCGCAAGAGAGAAAGAGAGATCATAAATCGAGAAGCAATAAAAAAGCCACACAAATATTTATATGTACTTTGGAATAAGTCTAATAATTTCACGTCACGCCCACCGCAAAGTGAATGTCTTGAGGAGCAAGTTTGCACGAGAAAAAGACACTCAATTCAAGGGGTTGACGTATTTGCTGAAGGAATACTCAAAGAGGGAATTGGAAAATCTCATGATTGAAGTTTCAAATACTATAGGGGGTTAGCTATATGTAATCAACCCCATCTACCGCCCCATTTCCCTTCCTCCCTTTGTTCCTAACGACAATGCTCTGCTTCACTCCGCGATCACGATACGATTGACTCGCGCCCTTTTCCGCGTCTTTCCTCAGTGCTGTCCAGAAGCGAGAATCTCGTCAGAAGGAGAAGGCCGCCATGACAGTGACATTCCCGTCACAATATCTCCAAGAATACTAATTGAGCAGGGCTTGGTATTTTGCCGGTTATTATAGGGAATTCGACTTTCATACTTAAATGTATTCTTTCAGCAATCAAAGTTTAATTTTTCTTTCTCACACATTTTTCTAATAATTATCCACTTTCTTCTAAAATATTTTCTATCTTCTTTTTCTTAAAATCCACCCTCTTTTGTCTTCTTTTTGGCACGACATTTACAACGTGTTTTGTTGTTCAGGCAAACAGACTTGGAAACCCCTTGAGTTTCATATATGTTAGAAAAAAGTTCCCATGAAATCTATCCCATAAGAACACCTAACGAATTAACAAGGCATGTTGAGAATTTAATTATCATCGCAGCTCGCAGTCCTCATTAACCCTCTTCTTTGCCCAGCAAAAAGCTCGCGCGCAAATTTCTATGCGCGCGCGCGAGTTTGCCAATTGATGATTGCAAATAAGATATCGAAAGTGGTTTTGAGCGCGAGAGAGGCAAAAAGAACACAGAAATGCTGGTAAAACTTCTAATAAATTGCATTTGTGTGTCACACATGAGAGTTGCCGGACGAGTTTTTGCAAAACTCGCCCATAAGCAGTGACCACACTTTGCAAAAGGTCACACAGAAATGACGGGGAAAATTTCTGAAATAGCACACACTTTTAATTTCATCGGACTCATGCGAGAAGCAAGTCTGGTGGGCGCGAATTAAGTGAGTCACTTGCTTTTGGGGACATTCTTAGTCAGTGATTATTAACAGGTTCGTCGCCTGAAG